ATACTTTGAATATTACATGTTAATAACTTGATTGGAATTATAACCTTGAGTTGACAGTTTGATACTTTGAAAATTTTGAGCCAGCCCTAACCCCAAGGGCTGTAGGGTGGGGCTCAAAGGGGTCAGTGTGCTAAAATTTCTTCATTTTCCTTGTTTAGAATCAGAGGTGCTAGTTTCAAATACTTTTTAGTCTGAAATCTGTATGCTAGATATTGAATAAGGTGTTTTATTGCTTTTTGTCACTTTGAATAATATTTCTGGTTATGTTAAAAGCAAAATCAACTCTCTTTATAAATATATCAGGTGACCGTTAAGGCCCAAGGGCCTCTTGTTTTATATAATTTACACTTTAAAGCCGAAAGTCTGTCTAGAGTTCGATTTTGACTAGCTCGGATGACACATATTTACATGCTTTTTTTTGCATAATGACTCGACTGCCAGATATATATACATACATGTGTCACTATAATTTGCATACTGTGACCGTTTTACTTTTTTTTTTTATCTAGATCTGACTTGATGTAATATTATCGATATATGGCAAAGGGTTGGGCAGATACAGCTCCCCTATGGGTACCATTCTCACAAGTTTTATAAACATTCCTTAAGTAGGGAAATTCCTTAAATAAAAATATCTTATATGTAGTAAAGCATTACAAAATTTAAGGAAATTTCTTGAACTAGATTTCCCTTTACATCCAATAATGTTTTCATATGGAAAGAAACATAAACAATTTCCTTACGATAAGGAAACGTTTATGAAACTGATGCCTGAATACTTGTGGAAGGCATTGCCAATTCCCACCAGAAAAGCGTATTTTGTTTAAAATGATTTAAATATACGTTTATTTTATTTACTCTATATAAAAGTAATTGGTTAAATCGTATATATTCCCACTTTTGCCTGACTGTGTTTTAGTCCGGTGTGTTAGTCTGGGAACTAAAACACACCTTCTGAACTAAAACACACCTACACTCGGGTGTTTCCGCCGAGCCAATCAGGCGCGAGGTGGGCGGAGCTTGCTACCGAAGGCTCCATTGCCATCAAAAGGGTAGTTGGGACGTGAAGCTATACAGCTTATGGTTTACAAATATTTTCTAGTTAGTTTAAACATATTTTATTGTACAAATATATAAATGGATCGGACAACAAGTTATTACAACTTAATAGAGTCCTCTCCTCAATATATATTGTAAAAAGAGTGTATATGTTTTTGGGGAAAGGGGAAAAGATAGGTTGAGGAAGGAACTGTAGGGTGGGTGGGGGTGATGGAGGGGAGGGGTGTTACCTAGAAAATTAAACTAGTAAACTGAGAAATCGATCCGCATTTGAATAAATTATAAATTATACAGATTTCATGACATGCAACCTGGTAGAGTACTTTCAAAATTAACAGAATCAATGTAACAAATAAATCAGGCAAAATAATGAAATACAATTTCATAAACACATATAACAACTTAAATAAGAATAGAAAATTAATTATTACTATCAAAACCTATATTTTCTAGTCAAAACTATCTCTCCAGTGTGTATCGGTATAATAAAACGGTTAAAGTATGGGGTTGAGAGATATACCAAGTTTCTGGTGTCCCGAGACCAGGTCTATTTCCTGAGGCGAAGTTATAATTAACTGTATAATAATCTAATAAATCCATGCATACATATTTCCGTTTAGTCCAAAAGTTTTTAAATTCCTAAAAATATTCTTTTCTTCATTTGAAAATTCCGTTTCGATTTCATTTTCCTGTTTATTCAAATAAACAATAATACATTTTTTTAAAACCATATTGATTCTTTAAAAATAAATACTTTTATCACCTTTACACCTGCAAGGTACTAATAAGTACTTACATATTTGGTTTCCTCCTTAAATTACTAAGATATATATTAATTAGGGAATTGTTCAATTTAAATCAATTGTGCTTTATAATTAAGTTATTTATTATTTTATTGGAAGATGGCTTAATATAAGAGCCTACTCTTGTTGCCAGATCCCTAGTATTACATTATGTAAAATTATATATTATGTGCAGCATATTTGTAAATAAAATATTGTCTAAACCAATTAAGTTATTTATCTGTTATTGAAATATCAGTTCAATGAATATTATCTCAAATACTATATAGATCAGCATGTTAATATTATCAAAAATATGAAACTTCAGAAAATTAAAAAGTCAAAAAAATATATATGTATATTTATTTTAGCATATGTGCTTGAGTTCCAACAGGTAAGTTTTACAGGTACATTCACTTGTTGAAACTCCGACACATTTTAAGAAAAAGACTATAACCCCTATCAAAATAAGTTACCCTACAGGTAAATTAAAAATGTTGGCACTCAGAGATACACCCATTTCAAGAACTTGTTTTGTTTGCCGATGATACAAAAACTGACAGGGAAATCAAGAAAGATGAAGAAAGAGAAGCGCTACAACATGATCTGGGTAATCTGCAAGCCTGGTCTAAAACATGGCTTTTAAAACTTCATCATTTAAAAGTACAAACTACTTACAATAATAGGAAAGGCGACAACAAATTATTCAATGGCAGGAGCGGGAGAAAAGAAAAATAAACTTGAGAAAATTTCATCAGCAAATGATATAGAAGTAAAGGAGGACGAAAATCTCAGTTTTGCATCACCTATATACAACAAACCGTCAACAAGGCAAACAGTACACTTTGGCTTATCAGAAGATCCTTCATACATTAAGATGAAATATCATTGAAACAGAAGACATAGAATCAATCGAGAAAGTGCAGCGTAAAGCAACGAAACTGATACCTGGGCTTAAGGACCTGTTGTCTGAAAGATGAGGATTTCCAACCCTCACATACCGTACACTGAGAGGAGATACAACTGCTACGATGAAAAGTTACGTCTAGATTTTTTAACCGCGAAACGACATCAAGAACGAGAGGGCACATATAGTCATATCTCTTTATAAGTCTCGTAAAACGTAATTATTTGAAAACCGACCATATTTGAACGATATAATTTTTTCCAAAGAAGATACCAGGGAAGTCTGCCTAATTCGATATATGAAAATGTAATAGAGGCAGATATTCTAAATGGTACATGTACGTCCAGATGACGTTTCCGCAAAAAGCATGAAGCAATACACATAACGCATTTCACGTATTTTATCATTTAGCATGAAGCATTTTACATAATCATTCACCTGTCCGACAGAGGGCGAACAGATTACGGCGTCTATAAATAAAACTGGGGAAGTCGCTTGTGTATCGCTTGATTGACTATGTAGGTAAACCGGTTTGTGTTTGTGAACTAATTTAAATATGAATACACAGGCGAGCCACTCAACGTCAATGAACATAGCGCTCACACCCATTCTGGTACAAGTTTTTCACTGTGGTCCAGAAAGGTTTGTGTACAACGTTTCGACAGAAAACGTCTGCAGCCACAGTACACTGTGGGAAGCTCGGACATCTTATTGTTAATTAGCAGCCCAAGGCAAATACCTGCTTGTCAAATCGATAGGACGAGCTACAGGGCTGCTTTCATCTCAACCGGCCCGACTTGAAATTTGACACCGGTAGAGTTTACCTGTGGACTCTTCGGACGTAGAAAGGAACAGTTTTTGGTGAAAATGTCGCTTGTCAACAGGGCGTTATCTCGGGAGGGGCATGCCGCCATGAGCATGAGGGGGGAGTCGGACAGATGGATTACGATTCAGAAAAACACGTTTACTAACTGGGTAAATGAACAGCTGAGAGTCGGAGGGAATACAAGAATGGTAGAGGATCTACAAACCGCTTTTGAGGATGGAGTATTGCTATGTGCACTTATTGAATCTCTACAAGGGAAGAAAATCGGACGGGTCATAAAAAAACCAATGAACCACCATCAGAATCTGGAGAACTGTACCCTGGCACTGGCGGCTATTGCCAATGATAACGTGCGCCTTGTGAACATAGGTAAGTTAATTACAGGTAACCAGAACCACACCTGTGTAAAGTCAGATGTTGCAGGTCACAGGTGTAAGATGTTTATTCTAACAAATCAGTATTATTTATCAATAACATCTGTGTCCGAGGTGTACATTTTATGTTACATTACCAGAACAGGTGTTTCTCAGATCAATGAACTCCTGCATTTTTTTGTGTTTACGAGAATGTTCATAAGTTTTTACTTCCTGTATATCTGTATCAGACATAGGGAATTTTCTAGCCATCAAAACACATCCAGCGTAGGATTTTTCTGAATATATAAGCCATGCATCCCAGGTATATTTGGAAAGCCCCATTCCAGATTGACAACACCCATTTGGTAATGAAAAAATACCAGGTGTAAACACAGGTGTAACTAATTAGCGGTTGATTGATTGATTGGTTTTACGTCCGCTTCTATACAGAGTAGTTCGGTTATCCAGCAGACGATAAAAAACTAATTAGCATATTGTACAGGTACATATAATGGTACATATAATGGTACATGAAGATGATCACCACACCTCTATATATACCTATAGATTGATCGATAACATTCCTGTGTATTGTACGTATACAGGTGTAAACACAGGTGCAACTAATTAGCATATTGTACAGGTACATATAATGGTACATGTAGATGATCACCACACCTCTATATACCTATAGACTGATCGATAACATACCTGTGTATTGTACGTATACAGGTGTAAACACAGGGACTCTGAGGCCATCAACCTATGGGATGATAAAGTAGCGTTATCATCAAACTCGAGAAATAAAAGGTGTGAAGATGTGATTAACACCAGAGAAGCTACTTGAGATTGTTTTATCGTTGCCCAGAGATCGTAACTAACTGAATTTGCCTGCTGAGATGTGTATTATTTAGTTAACCAGTAAACAGATACCTGACTAGCTACCTTGACAGACAATCTAAAGCTACAGCCTGGGGTGTACAGGTGATGTAAAGACAAAGCACTAGTACAAACGACAACACCCTTCCTCCACTTTATTATGAAAAAAACTTCTAAAAGGTTTTTGTTTATGGTTAAATAAGAGACCTTTAAATAAATTGATCTTTAAGGGACTTTTTTGAAGACACTGTCTGCTAAAACATTTGCATTCTCAGGATAAATTTTCATATGAGATGCAATGCCAAACAAATTGTGTGAAGCATTGCAGTGTATTAAGGGGAGACTAAAAAGGGTAGAACAAATTTAGCACCATTCTCCGACGGAAAGACCCTTTTCCCAATTTGTTTTTCATAATTTTACAAAAAGTAAAAAAAACAACAAAAAAACCAATGATTCGTGTAACATTTCAGTCTAAGTAAGCATACATTGCCGTTCCCCAATACTAAAGCCCCCTGCCCCAATTCCATTACTGTTCCTCAACAAAATTCCTTAAATTAACTTTATTTTTTTTCTATAGGGAAATCAGACTTTTACTAGAATTGAGCAAAAATCTTAAGTTGAGGAAATATTCCTGAACATCATGAATTCAAATTATTTCCTACAGAACGTTTTTGAAAGTAGGGTCTGGGGGTGGGATTTTGGCCTCCTTCCCAGAAATAGTAAAAAGCCTGAAATAGATGAACAAAAATAGTACTACAATTGTTTTACTATAAAAGTATAACTGTACCCTTTACAAAAACATTTCCTCAATATCTGAAGAATTGACTTAAGATATTACTTCTCAATACAAAATAAATGAGGTGGAAAAATGCATATAACTGTACCCTTTACAAAAATATTTCCTCAATATCTGAAGAATTGACTTAAAATGTTACTTCTCAATACAAAATAAATGAGGTGGAAAAATGTTTTCTTGATTAAGCACAAACTGAACTTCCCGAGTTCAACTAAGAAGGAAACAATTATGAAGTAAACTCAAGAACGATGTATCAGATTTCAAAATACACGAGTGATTTACAAAATCACATGTGTATATGCATCAATGTTTACATTTCCACCACAGACCAATCAGATGACTGCTTAATTGCTTCGCTGTACCCATTTTGAACAAAATTGATAAATAATTTTGTAGATAAATTCATACTTTATGTTCAAAACTGATAACACAATTTTTCATACTAGCTAGTAGCTATAGGTTAAGTTTATGTATTTTTTTCCCAGTAAAGTCTTGCTGTAGGTTAGTAGATAAACATAAGAATTGTTCGCTCCAGGCGTTCATATTTTTGTGACTATAACCTTTCCCTATATGGCATTACAATTAAATTACCCATCTATAAGGTAACGCATCTAAATTAATATGTGGTCTGTGTCTAGGTGCTAGATGACATGTTTTATAGTAAGTACTATATTGATGATATACCAGCAATGTCGACGTCCGTCTAGAGGGGGACTAACTACCTAGATGTTGTTTTCTGGCTTCTATTTAGTGAATTGATGGCTGTTGTCACAGAAAGTGCACCTCGGGCAAGTACAGGTGCTCTAATATAATGCATGTACAACGTTAACACAGTAAAACGACGTAAACTCACAGGCATGCGTGACATTCTGAACTGTCACGGTTTTGAAGGGAGACATCTTTATTTTGAATATAAACAGAATCCCTTTTATGTGTGGCTTTTGCTAAAATACGATAAATCAATAGTATAGATCAACTTAAAATGTAGTATGATTTATTTAGAAGGATTAGATTTTAACTCAATCACCCTGAAACTTCTTAATGAACTATTCCAACCATTGAATTGGAAGAGTTAAATGTGTCATCAGGGTTGAAATATCTTTTAATTACGGTGAACTATGTACAATATTTTTGTCAATTACAATGCAAATTACCAACACTATTCTGAAAAACAGTCATCTCCAAATCAGGAGGTTTTAAACGATGTTAACTCATGCACCCCTGAATATGCATTTAAACTCTTCCAGTTCAAAGTTTGGAATAGTTCATTGTGAAATTTAAGGGGTGAATGAGTTAAAATGTAATCAAAAGTTAACATATTTGCATGCTTTAACAGAAAGAAAGGAATTTTAACGCCAACTAAATGCTTTGAGTTGAGAATTTTTGTATTCTGAGGCATGGTGTACATGTCTCTCAGATATAAGTGAATATATGCATGTTCAGTTCAGATATGGATCCATTAAATAAACAAGTTAAGTTAAAGTGTCATCTGATCTAAAACTACAGCAGTTATACTAAAAGAATTCTTGACTTTTTCACCAGACAGATTACATGTACCATATAATATTGGCATTTTGTCTACTGTTCGTGGCTGACAACACAGTTAGTACAATTCCCTTGGCCCAGCAGTTGGCCTAGATAATGAACGGAAAACCTGGAAAACAGGTCTAGCAACTGTCTACAATGGAACGCTACTAAGAGGACTTTTACAATGAAAGTCATAAGATAGATATGCTAAACCCTGTCAGTTTTATAAATAAATAAAATTGCAAGATCTGCAATTTAAAAAAACCAACTTATTTAAACGTTAAGGTGGGTAAAAATTGGGATGCATTGAATTTAATGGCTCGTGTAGACATATACTTTACATAATTGCTTTACACATGAGTAAAAATGTAGTATTCCAGGTAATGTGTGTGTTTAGTATGGGCCCGAGTGAGTGAGTGCATACAATTTTCATTTCCTTATTCTCATTGAGCAAAATCCACTTAAAAATCAGAACAAATTTATTTCGGGTAAATGTTCGTGTGTTAGTGCAAAATAACTATGAAACAAAAAGTCTCAAGTTTCTTGTTTCATTTTGACAATGTAATACAAGATAACCTAACGCTGATCCTGCACATACAAAAATAAAGATGGAGATCTGTTAATCTTTGGTGCACGAATCTTTAAGCATGGATAATACCCCACCACCACCACCACCACCACCACCTCAACCACCAAAAAAGAATTGTTCTTCTCGGGGCATAGTTTAGGTGTGCATTTTTTTCTTTACTTTTACCAAACTCAATGATCAACTGGTATTAGTAATTTAGTATAATCAAATCCCCAGCATCAATGATCAACAGAAATGACTTTCATTCATATCTCAGTAGTTAACCTTAGTGCTGCCTTTGACCTTTGACCCCACTTGATTTTCAGTCACAGTATTTAAAATTTTAGCTGCTGAAATGGCTTAATTTTCATGTTCTCCTACATGTACACGTAAATGTAAGTGTTTGACCTCACTTGACTTTTATGTCCCCAAGATTTGGCCTTTGACCTTGACCTTTATTTCTCAGAAATTTTAGCCTTTGACATTGACTGACCTCATTTGACCTATGGTAGGATGACCTACATGTTACATGAACATCATATGTCATTCTTGATGAAGTCTGGCCTCTGCGTGTGACCTGAAATGGCCTCTGGACATATAATGTAAATGAAGCAGAAAGTATGTTGTACGTAGTGTCCAGGTTTGTGTACAATGACTTATAGCTACAATAGGTATGTCAATGCCCTCGTTGACGTAATAACTAATTATAATTACAGGTATATGACCTTTGTTATGGAAAGTTTTCTCTTGTTTCATTCTCCATTTTTACATCAAGCATCATAGTTGGAAGTTTGAGCATGCTCAGGTGTATAAATATGTCCCCACTCCTACTTCATTTGTTGTTCAATGAAATATACCCTGTACCAATCGAAGATGGTATAGAGTCTCGTGTGACTTCGGGGTAAAAGATTTTGTTAAAAGAGGGAGGAATTTAGCCGGTTTGGCTGTGAATTTTTCGGTCCTACTATAAATACATAAAAGGGAAGTAACATGTTCTAATTTTATTGGTATTGTCTACAATTACCAAAAAACGTGTCCATTTCCATATTCCAGTTTAATTTGAGCCCATTTTCATTTGGAGGATACCTGTCAAATATCTATGAAGATATATATCCTGTTTGACTGAAGTGAGGTTCTGGGGATTTTCTGTCCTGTGACGATTTTTAATTAGGCGCTTCCATTTTATACAGTGGTGTAACCAATAATATGACCTATAGCTTGCTTCTGCCATTTTTGAGGTTTGGACAAAGTGTACAATATGAAAAGAAATATCAAAAGTTGGAAAATGTTCTACATATAACCAATTTAAAAAGATTATTAATTGAATATAGGAATGTTTGCCAATATTAAGTACCTTTTGTATCTTTAACTATTACCTGACACACATGTTTGTGTTGGTCGGACCAGCACTTTTGTACATATATATATATATACATGCCTAGGTACTTAGTATTTTATTACATATTTCACTGACAGGGTGTAAACAATAGTGTGAGGAATTCTGATAGTTGTTGAAGGTTGAAGTCTCCCCTGTAGATTGCTGTCAGGATAAAGCTTTCTATATATATAGTGTGATTACCACTACTTAAGTTCCTCTAGAATGTGTCACCTGTGAGGATTGGCTAGTCGGAGTACGAGAGATGACCTGTGTGTAATACCCCAGACAGATGATCTGTGTTGTAATACAGTACCCCAGACAGATCAGAACATTCTGTAAAGTTTTAGATTCGTTCTACTATTCTTAAAATCCACGCCCATCATCCATTATGTATACACTACATTCAGATGTAGAAATGTCATATCCACCCTCAGATAGAGCTGGTCTGTATGTTTAACACTTTGCTTTATTTGGTATGGCATTACCTGTAAATCTACACCCTTATCCATTGCATGTTTTACATGTGCACAAAAAATGTACAACCCTGTTTTGTATGTCTATGACGACAGATAAATGCTCGATCATTTTCAAATTAAAGGTTTGTTAAGAAGTAAGACAGCCATATTAGTAAAACTGTTTTTTAGAATCTTAACTCGTCATAAACCAAAAAAAACATACAGTAAAATAAAATGTGATTTTCTTTACAGTTTAAAATGTAAATAGAATATTTATGTTGGTTTATAACCATTTACCTACAGACAATTCTTCAGGACGCATTTCTTGGAACATGTTTGTATTCAATTAGGGTTCATATTATCTTCTATATGTTGTACCCCACAGAGACCAACATGGCTTTAATCATAAATGTATTTAAACAAAACAGAAACCCTTTGTCAGCAAATCAAGTCAAAAGGCCATATTCAGTTATATGTATTATTTTTTGCCATATCACAACTGTATTACAGCTCAGGTGATCATTCGGCCCCTTGGGCCTCTTGTTCGTGATATACTAGGATACTTGAGTATACCGTAGAACCTGCTTAGATCATGTTTCCTGAACAAGGAAGTTCTGTATTTACATTAATGTGAGCCATAGCGGATTAGCTTGACGAAAAAAATACTTGAAGATTTTGATATTGATAATTTTAAGAGGTACACAAACAAGAGATAAATTAGCTTGGACAAAGACATAATTATATATATTTTTTTGAAAATGAAACTCCTTGACTCATAAATGATATTAACTCATTCACCCCTGAAATTTCATAATGAACTATTCCAACCTTTGAATTGGATGGGTTCAAATGTGTCTTCAGGGGTGAATGAGTTAAGATGCAGACAATGATTTCTATGTGAGATAACTGCTAGCTCTATACTGCACAGTGGTATGTCTGATATATATATTATTTATATCTCATCTGACTTTTTATCGACTGCACATCAAAGCTGGAAAAGACTGCATTCAGCTAGATCAATCCTCTATACCGATTCTATACAGTGGTATTTAGAAATGAGACATGTTGGTTAAGAACGAAACATATACATATACTGCAAATAAAAGGAAGTGTTAACGTCGTATACAGGAGAACTTTGGCCCAGTCAAATATTCGCCCTTTGATGATTTAATTTATATTTTCCCAGTGTTAATTTTGCTGTTTATATGTAGTCACTAAATATTGTATGTTGTATACTAGTATGTCATAATAAATTCGCCCTCATTTGGGAGAGCGAATGCTGAAAAAACCCTGGAAGTTAAACTGCGCTGATCATTCCCTGGTATACAGTATTCAATTATCCTAGTTTTTGTACTTTCTGAAGTAAGATGAAGATCTAAGATTATTCGTTTGTTTGTTAAGGTTAAGAGCTAATAATTGTATGATTACAATTATAAATTACAAGTACATGTAAATAAAATATAAAATAACAAATAATTGCTGTCATAATTAAAAGTAATTTGTGACAAATTCTATCTGGTTCTTTATTATTCATAATCAAATATATGTTGTTTAGTACCTGACGAACGCCTGCAGGTATGGGAAATAAAAGGCATACCGCAGACTCCCACACTATGTTATTGTTAGATTAGGCTGATGTGCCCCCCTTCCTCCCTCCCTCCCCCTTGCAGACTCCTGATTCGTATTCACGAAACTGGTCTCATGCTCAAGCATGGATTTTGTGCCCAACTGACTTTCTTATAACTCACTTAAATCATGTAAAACAATGAAAAAGTCAAATGTAAACATTGAAAACAGCATTTGGCTTGAAGTCTGTTCAACTATTTTCCAAATCATTGACAAAATAAACTCTCATTGCTAATTTATAAAAAAAAAAAAATAGCCTTGAGCACAAAATCCATGCTTGAGCATGAGAACGGTTTCATGAATGCAGGCCCAGAGGTTTTCATCTTTTTCTTTTACATTGAAAGAATTTTCTGCCCACCATATTGAAATATTTCGGATATAATTTCTTTTCTCTCCTGTCTACTCATTCTATCTGGCAGTGTCTACAAAAGGTGTTGGTTTTTATGAGGATATAAAACAACAGCGAGGATGTTAGACCCCTAACAAACGGCACCTGACATATTGTAAATTAGGTAATGAATGTCCTCAATGCTGTTACAATGATTGATGTATTTAGTCAAATGACATTTTATTGTGGTGACGGCTACAATAGCAATAGTATTTGGAGCACCAGTATTGCATATGTTAGAAGTTTTATTAATCATTCTCTCAGACTACTTGGCTATATGATATGTCTCGAGCATTTGATAGATTTACTGGTCAGAACCCCAGTGTGCTGGATAAACATGGATCTGACCTGTTCATTGGGTGTTGAAATTATAGTACATAATGTATGAATGTTTGATATCTTGGCCATCATCCATTTCAGATGTCAGTTTTTGCATTATCTGAAAAGAAAAGGAAAATTAAGGAGTTTTTTTTTCAGATTTGGAAATTTTGACGAGATTTAAAGATGAAATTAAAGAATTTTTTTTTTTAATTTGGAAATTTGGAAGAGACTTTTGGGGAAAAAAGCATAGCACTGTTTTCCATTGGGAATTTGGCTGAATTTCCGCCCGAAAATGGCACAAGAAAGAGCTCTAAAGTACCTATTCGAGGTTCTTATTAATCAGTGACCGATATTGAATAGTATTTCTCTTGATTCATTTTAATTTTGTTACTCTACGTAAACCAAAATTTTATTTATCACAGGAAGTGACGATATCTCCAACGGTAACCTGAAGCTGATTTTGGGGTTGATATGGCATCTTATTCTACGTTACCAAATTGGCAAGACCAAGTTCCCCGCCAAAAAGCTGATGTTGGCATGGCTACGAGCCGTTATCCCAGAATGCGGCATCACAAACTTCACCTCATGCTGGAACGATGGCGTTGCTCTCCAGTAAGTTTAAGTGAACCAAGTTGGTCCACTTGCACACATAACTTTAAGAATAAGCATAGAAACGAATTTTATGGATTATAATAAACGTAAAATATTCTCCTAATTTTTATTTTTTAGAGTAGTGTTGCAACATTCAGTCTTAATCCTTTCACCACTGTAAACCATAATTGACTCTTCCAGATCAATGGACGGTCAAGTTTACTAAAGTTACATAGGGGTGAAGGGATTAAGTCACTATTCATTTCATTAATTTACACTGTTTTCAGCTAGTGATTAACACTACATTTTCTCTCTTTCACTGCAGTGTACTTTGTTATTTTATGTCATATTTGTATTTTTTTGTCAGTCTTGCTGTTATCAGAATACATGTTTCAGCCTTGTAGGTAGTTACAAGTGTAGTTTTTACGGGCACAGTAAGATGTAGTTGATGTCAAACTTTAAAGATAGAACCGTACACTGAGATAATGCTGGTGTTTTTTTTCCCACAGTGCCCTAGTGAATTACTGTGACCCAAGGATAGAGGAGGCCACTAACTGGAGATATCTTAGTCACAGTGATAGGTATGTGGGTTCAAAATAGGTTTCAAAATACATCAGTATAATGTGACTGGAAGGAATGTCTTGTTTCCGTGTCCAGCTATGACATTTCAGTGAGACGACACTATACTGTGACCTTTGACTGATGACCTCGAGCTCATTACTTTAGACCCTATATTAGCTGTTGCCAGGATTCACAATCATGAACCAGACAAACAAATGCATTATACTGAGCAATATTTGCTGCAGTTTTAACTTTGTCCTTTTTGACATACATGTGGCAATATTATATCATTTCACATTAATACCCACATTTTGGGTGAATACTTGACATGTGAAAAATTTCAGAAATATTCACAATGCTAGTGAAAAATATAACTGTTATTCATCCAAAAAAGAAAAAGCAAACCAAATAAGCTATGCAAACATATTTATATATAAAAAAACAAATGCAAAGAGTGTCTTTCTCCTCTAGGGAGGTACAAGTACTAAGACACTCTTTGCGTTTGTTTTCTATATTTAACCATCACATGGACTTTGAATGTGTTTCTGATTATATATATACATATTTATAACTAGAATATTTGTATGTGGTGTAAAATGATTACACAATGTGATTTATAGTTTCCTGTTCAGAGAATTGAGATTCTGCAGGTTTTACATTAATTGTTCTTCATCTTGTTCCCAGTCTGAACAACTGTAGCAATGCCATGAACCTGGCCAAGCAGCACTTTGACATTCCCCTGGTCGTACGACCCGAGGATCTGTCCAGCCCCGACCTTGACGAGCTGTCTGGAATGACCTACTTGTCCTACTTCATGAAGATTGACTCGCCTGGTTACATGGCAACCAGGAACATGGTCCGCAACCTCCTTAGGAGTGGTACCTTCAACAACTTCACAGTTAGTACAAGTTTTCAGAACGTTTTTATATTCTGCTTGGAATCTTGGGTACTTCTGTCAAGATCACAGCTTTTCCTTTAATTGGCTGTCATGTTTCAGTTTGATTTTGTTTTGTTTTTAAAGCTCTGGTGAACCTGATTATTATAGTTATTTCTGACTTCTAGCTTGACTACAGGTATAGTTTGCTATATCCCTGAAAGGCACAAAAATATGCTGTATCTAAACTTTGTAGATTTCAATTTTCTTTTTTTGCTGTTCGAAATTAAACATTAGTGAGTTGAAGTCTCAATGTTTCAATTTTCCCCCCGGTTGTCCAGCAAAGTTCGAAACATTGACGTTTGACTGAATATCATATGTCACAGTTAATAATGACGTTGTGGTGTTATGCAGGAAGACTGGGCTGATGGGAGACTGTTGTGTAACCTTGTTACCTCCCTTGGAGAGTCTGCCTCACCTATGGGTAATCCAGTGGACGACTTACAGCAGGGTAAGGCAGAAATTACAATAACAGCACATGTTTGTTTTTGTGTTTTGAGAATTTTTCAAAAGCTGATGACCATACAACAAAATATATTTTGAAATGAGAACTAATTACACAAATAAATGAGTAAATTGATAAATAAAGACCTTACATCTTGCACTCAGTTTTATTTTTCAAAGAAACACCTGAAGAGCTAATACAGTGAAAATATTAGTGCAAAATGTACATCTTTTACCAATTAACTCATTTTATATATTAATTTACAGCGTTAACTTTAGATTTGAGTATTTTTTTGGTATTTGTATGGTAATATGCATGACATTCGGATTGAAAATGGTGAGTCTCCAAGATCATACATATGCATATAGAAAAACTCATTTTTAGAGCCCCACAAAAAATAACAAGAAATTAACGTATAAGTTTATTTGTTGTATAGGTATTGATGCGGCCCGCAGGCTGGGCGTGGAGCCTATCCTCACAGCCAAGGAGATGTGTGACCCAGAGGTCGATCATATCGGAATCATGGCATATGCAGCATATTTCGGAAACTTTAAGCCTGTTCGCACAGCAGCAGAGAAGGTTGTCATGGAGGCGGGTCCCAGGAACGTCTTCATTGAACAGGAGGTACAAATTATCTGTATTTATTTGTGTATTGTTTAGCTTAATAAAGTTTATAAAAATGATAATCAGCTGTGTGGTAAAGTGTTTAGCCCATTGTTCTATACCTCAAATGTCCTTTCAACAAGTTATCACATTGTAAAAAATGACAAGACTATAAATAGTAAACCTATTTACTATTTATAATATAACACAGATTGAGAACATTTTATCAAATGATTCTTTCAATAATGTATGTTTAAAAGTACTGTGATATGTGATAGATTAATCTAATCAGTCAAACTAATGACCTTTTTGAGACTTTGATATATACATGTATTGCTATAATTCAAATTGCTCATATTTGACTCTAAAAGTCCTTATTTTGTGTATGTTTCACATAATGTTTCAGGCCGATTTCTCGCTGCGTATAGATGATTCTGAGCTAACCGCGTCAGATGTGAGGGCCGAGATTAAGGGACCTGACTCCAACCCTGCTGTACACTTTAACTGGGTTGGGAGCCGAGCCACTGGAACGTTTACCCCAACAGAGACTGGGCACCACAGGGTGAGGACACCATCCCTTGATAAATCCCTATAAGGGGCTTCTACTAGTCCAGTAACACCACAAAATGATGTATCGCTTTTAATTTTCAACCTCACTTATGTATTAACTTTGACTTAATTAGTCCAGTGATAAAATCTCTGCTTTCCCTCCAAACTTTTTCTAGCAACTGGCCAAGCGTCACTATACTTACTGACCATTGGTCAATTAGTCACGTGACTACTAATGAATATTCTGGCCTCATCACTTTATTGCACATGTTACCTAATTGACCCTTCCTCTGAAACTAATAGCTTATATACCCCCCACCCCCACCCCCCACCCACCCCCATATAACATGTATCATGGTATCAATTACAAACAGACTGTACATTATTAACATATAATGTTCTAACTAATAAGTACCTACATGTCAAGTACTATTCTCTCTTTACCTTGTATCTAATAAAATTACACAACAAGGCATCTAACTTATCCAGCTGTTTGAGCTCACCGGTAAAACTTGCTTTGTATAAACTCGAATTTAATAATTAAATTCATATTTTTCAAGGTCTTATTTTTTCAACAATCCATTAAATTTTGGATGCTTCTTTTTTTCATGCACAGGAAGCTTTACAGGGAGCTGTCGATAATTTTCCTTTTTAAATCATTTGAACAGACCTCATTTTTTATTGAAAGCAGGCCTAGGCCATCTCTTTCCCAATTAGTAAAGATAAATTATAAACCTCAGAAAGAAAACAAAATACAGGTTCATAAAATTTCTGCTTTTTCTTAGGATTTATGAATGATATTAATTAACCCTTTCACCACTGTGGACCACAATGAAGTCATCCAGATAAATAGATGGTAGAGTCTACTAAAGTTACTTAGGGGTGATAGGCTTAACTTAAGCAGGTTAAGTGTTCTTAAAATAAAACATTAACAACTGCACACTGCATTGTTTCCCAAATACACATGCGAAAATCTGTGGATTACCTCCCTTTGATAAGCTACACTGCTTTTCAGGAACTTCTATCAAACTAAACAAAATCTAGACGGGAAATCATTTCTAATTGTCTGTTTTACCTGAATAATATCAACTTTATCAATCCTGAGTCACCATGAGATATAATTCATTTTTTTACAGCTGAATGTTTACTGTGAAAACTCACTCATTGTTGGATGTCCAGTGTCCTTCAAGGTCCTTGCTGACAGGTCAAGGGTCAGATACATCGGTCCAGACAGGTGTTCTGCTGGTCTTATCTCTGAACTAAAGGTAAATTAAACTAAGTTTCTGAGCTCAAGTTAAGGTAGGTTTATTTTTACTCTGGACTGAAAGAAAGCTTAGAGCTTAGACTCTGAGCTTAAGTTAAGCTAGGTTTATTTTTACTCTGGACTGAAAGAAAGCTTAGAGCTTAGACTCTGAGCTTAAGTTAAGGTAGTTTGGTATCATCTTGAGACTAAAGGTAAACTAAGCTAAGATTCTGAGCTCAAGTTAAGGCAGACTTATTTCAACTCGGAACTAAAGGTAAGCTTAGCTTAGATTCTGAACTCAATTTAAGGTAGGTTGGTCTCATCTTGGGACTAAAGTTAAAGTTAGCTTAGAGTCTGAGCTCAAGTTAAAGTAACTGTTCTCATATTGGAACTTAAGGTAAACTAAGCTTCGACTCTGAGCTCCAGTTAAGGTTGGGTGGTCTGGTTTGTGACTTATTAGGGTAAGCTTAGTTTTGTCTCTGAGCTGAAGTTGGTGTAGGCTAATCTCAATTTGGGAGTATTTTATCTTGCCTCATTTGTCTGAAAGACTTCTTCTCCAGAATAGCTGAATGTATTTTGACTAAATTGGGTTTTGGGCATCCTTGGGTCAAAAGGGTTCATTATTGAACAAAGATGGGTTGTGGTTCTTCTGGGGGCAGAAGAGCAAGGCCTTAAATGGGAAATGGATGCGTGTTAAATCTTCAAAAAATACTTTTTATGTAAGTTTAAGCATAATTTATTCTGAAATGAGGGATTTAATGTTTTGTAATTTGAAAGTATGATTTGTTTTGGTTGGAGGAGTGGGCTCACAAGGACAACCCCGCTGGTTAGGGATTGCGGAAAGAATATACCTGCTGTTACCTATTATATGCTGTAAGAAGCAACTAATATGGGGGCCCCCTGCAGAATTGGGGATATATTTTGTGCATCACTTGACAATATCGTTTCTTCTGTCATATTTGTCACTTGTTACATATAAGAAAAGGAATGTATTATGCTGTTATTCTGAATAAATCCTGTTCAGATGTGATGAATGTTTTAGATAGCATCAACGTGATTGTCTTTTGATAAATCTATTGCTATATTCATTGTGATGTCTGCTGCTAGGTTGATGTTACGAGTGCAGGACAGGGCGACATCCAGTGTGAGGCGCGGTCACCTAGTGGACGTACGGTCAACATGGCCGCTGTATACCGAAACGGCAATTACGTGATGAATTTTACTCCAACAGAAGTTGGTAGGTTGTTGTGATCATAGTTATTAACATTCTCCTCACTCGGGTGGAATAAAACTGTTATATGAACTCCAGAATATAATGCTTATAAAACATTTAAATTAATGGATTATTGCTGAAATATACTGTTTATTCCTGTAAAACTATAAATGCATTATTTTAATACTAGTACAAGTAATCGTAAAATGTTTATTTTGTTTTTGTTTTTATTTGTTATTTGTTTAGTTACTTTGTTGTCCTTTGGACTTTTTTCTCAATTATTTTCTGAGCATATTGTGATATCTAATATTTACAAGTAAATTCTGAGAAATGTTTTAAAGAAAAATTAGAAGAAATCTTTGAAACAATTAGGTCATACTTTATCCATTAACATTTTATTTTGGTTTCACTGACAACTCTGATAAAAAGATCTAGTGTCCCTTAATGTTGGTACAGGCACTTTACTTCTGTGTTGTCGTAACAACTATGGCCGCAGAGTTGTTCACTTATGAAATAAGGTCTGACCTTGTAATCTGATGCTGCTATATATCGGGCGAGCCTTCACAAAGCCTTGCAAGGCCTGTGTAAACTTTTGCAGGTCCGCCAGGATTTACACCTGAAAATGCTACATTTTTTAACAGACAAACCGGTTGAACCAGATACACAAGAGGAGCCTAAGTCTGCCATGTTTAAGCTTTATTGTAGTCTAACCTATCAATGTTGTGTTCCAGGTATTTGGCAGGTGTCTGTACTGTACGATGGAGAACACATCTCAGACAGTCCTTACAATGTGACGGTGTTTGACCCTTCAAGGGTGCGCGTGTACGGACTAGAGGGAGGTTCTGTCGGAACAGGACTCAAATTCCACGGTAAGCGGTTATAACACAGCTTACCAATGCATTGATTGTTTCTATATTTTGAGATTATTTTGATTTTTTATGTCTTTTTTTGTTTGTTTTTAATTTTGATTTTTTCCATCTTATTTCATTGTTCCATTATATTGTTAAGATAATTTGTTTTATCTGTTTTCTGAGATTATTTGATTTTTCGTGTCTGCTTTTTGAGATAGTTTTGATTACATGTATTTCCATCTTATTTTTTAGATTATTAATTGTTTTATCGGTTTTCTGAGATTATTTTGTTTTTTGTCTGTTTTGTTTAGATAAATTTGATTGTTTCCATCTTATTTTTGAGATTATTTGACTGCTTCTATCTGTTTTCTGAGATTATTTGATTTTTCATGTCTGCTTTTTGAGATAGTTTTGATTATTTCCATCTTATTTTTTAGATTATCAATTGATTTATCTGTTTTCTGAGATTATTTTTTGTTTTTTTTATGTCTGTACAGCTGACACCTCGGAGTCTGGGACCGGGGATGTAACTGTACAGGTGTCGTGTAACGGCTCGCACGTCCCCGCCTACATCCACCAGGACAGAGTGGGACTCTACAGCATCGACTTCACACCCCAGGGAGCAGGCACATACAAGGTTGATGTCTACTTCAATGACACGGAGGTCAGAGGTCAGTCAGCGCAATGTGTATTGCTATTTAAAAAAGAAAATATATTGGTATTCACTCATTTTGTACAAAGATTTTACTTCCTTCAGATCAAATTTCATTTTCTAATTTCTTTTTTAGATGTATTATGACGAAAAAGATTTAAGAAATCCAACATATTTTGAAGAAAAAATATTTGATAAAAAGGATGAAGCTGGTTTAACTCATTCACCCCTGAGGACACATTTGAACTCTTCCAATTCAAAGGTTGGAATAGTTCATTATGAAATGTCAGGGGTGAATGAGTCAAGACACTTTTGACATGTTGTAATTTTCCTCAACTTCTCTTGCTCTTCCCAAAATATACATAACTGCACTGAAATCAGCAGCTGCTGTGAAACCCCAATCACTGATATTGTTTTCACAAAATATATGTTGTATCATAATAGGGTACAATGTTGGCACAGGGAATTTACGAAAAAAATATCATAAAAACAGAAAAAATATCATTTTTTTCTTTTTCTTTCTATATACCGTAACTTTACAGGTTCTCCCTATACACTGGAGATAGTGGATTCTGCCCAGGTAAACGTTTCTGGAGACGGTCTCAGTTTGGTTCCAGTGAATCGCACAGCGAGCTTCGTCGTTGATACCCACGGATCGGGGTCTGGCAATGTGGATGTGGAAATCAGTGGTATGTATTGGTGTGGATGAGGTTGTGTGGATTAGGGGTGAAGGCTTCCTGCTGTATATTGTATACAAGCTGGGGAATGTGGACTCAAGTAATCGCTGGTAATGGTCCTACAGAGAATGGTAGTGAAACATAGTATAGAGTATCTATTAGACAAATATATTTTTTTCTAATTAAAGATATTAAGATTATGTTTCTAAAACTGGTACAGTACTGTTTTAAGAAAACTTTTTCAAGTTTTGAAATTTGCATTTACTGTGGTTTCATGAAATCTTGTTACATAATTTAAAAACGAATTCCTACAATCTGAAATTATCTACCAGGAATGTTAAAGCAGGAATGTTAAGTGGAGTCCTAAATTGACTCCCAGACACTGTATCATTGCCCTTATAGCTACTGTAAACCTATGCTTGTTCTTGACCTATTAGAATTTACTGTACTGGAAGAGATGCCTTAATGATCCTTCCCATATATCGACCTCGTTTTGAACAATCTCCGTGTCCTAAAATGATCCTGACATCAATGGTTACCATGCTATCCATTTACCCTGCTTATACATTTAGTCTTGTTTCCAGGTGTATTTGTTTACCCATGAGGTTATCCTGTCAATAACCCACACATTAACCCTGGTTCTGTTGTACAACCCAGGGTCCCATTCAGTGATCTCCGGTCAGATTTTAACAACTGTAAAACTTAATATAATATACAATAACCCATACATCCTGTGATAACCCTGGTCTAACATGATAACCTCAATACTGCACAATAACCCTGATCCCAATCAAATATGTGACCCTGTTACTGTACAATAACTCAAACACCCTGTGATGACCCTGGTCCAACATAACTCAAACACCCTGTGATGACCCTGGTCCAACATAATAATTAACCTCAATACCACACAATAACCCTGATCCCAATCAAATCTGTGACCCCAATACTGTACAATAACCCATACACCCTGTGATAACCCTGGTCCAATATAATAACCTCAATAACACACAATAACCCTGATCCCATGCAAAAACTGTAACCCTGGTACTGTACAATAACCCTGGTTTAATGAGTTAAGGCTTTTCCTTACACAAGTACAACTGTCCTTATAGTCATTCATTCATATTAATCTCAAAATATTTAATTCACATGAGTTTTGACGATTTCATGAAATATGAATGACTTTGAATTGTGTTGGGGTAATTTAAGTGCAGTTTGTCAATGGAACCTTATAAAGGCATTGCTCACTGTCTTAGTAGATCTGTAAGTCTGCTAGAAAGGAAAATCCTTTCACATACTGTGGTAATATAAAAATGTTCACACATCATTTTAATGTTGTGTCTAAGTTGTTTTAACCGTTAACTCATTCACCCCTGAAGACGAATTTGAACTCTTCCAATTCAAGTGTTTGAATAGTTCATAATGAAATTTCAGGGGTGAATGAGTTGAGGGTGATTTTTCAGGTATGCTGTTCCGTAACTTTTTACATTCCAGATTGTGTGAAGAAATAAGCTGTTATTTATTAGACATCCTCTATAGATGTCAATCGGCAAAAATTCAAAAATGTAATTTTTTACATACCAGATTGTGTGACAAATAACAACTATATTAATAACATTTGACCTATGACCTATCACCTGATGTCTGACAACAGTCACAAGTAAACGATTAAACTCAACAGTTACAACTAAACGATAAAATGCAACAGTCACAAATAAACGATAAAACACAACATGTACAGTCACAAGTAAACGATAAAATGCAACAGTCACAAATAAATGATAAAACGCAACAATCACAAGTAAACGATAACGATCCTTCCTAGAGTTTAACTTCTTTGTCAGACATCAGGTGCATGGTCAGGTTCTTAGATATACATGATAAACAATTTAATTCTACATAGAGTTTTAACTTTGTGATGATTTTATACCCGCTGATGTTCTCGGCCTCTCGACACCGTCCTTACACGGAACACAATAATTTTACATTTAAGATTTGTGAGTTTATATTAGAACCATGAATATCAAACAGATAATACTGTAAAAAAATAATGGTGAGGTTCTATTTTTCATGGGAAAAATTCTGATTCTGCAAAATTCATAGTCGTAGCAAATTGGCAAAAATTGCCCACTGTGTATAAGTATGGTTAGAAGTAAACATTATTCATATTCACACACATACAAGCAAACACCAGAACTGTTTATCATAAAAAATTGTATGCTTTAAACTGAAAAATTAAACTGCCAATATTTCATTTCAAAACTTTGACTATCATAAAAGTGCATATAAGCTATATATATATAAAGATATATTTTACTTATGGACTTAAAACTATGATTGATTGTATCAAGATAAATCAGTTTTGAAGAAATGATTAATAAAATGTTTATAGTATGGCTAAAGTTCAGTTCAATTCAATTAATTATGTTTGAAATAAATAAAAATCAATCATCACAAATTTAAATCAATATGTAGTGCTTTTTGCATGTCATTAATACAACATAAAACCATGTAGTATTTCACAAGTCACTTCCACAACGATGAATGAAAGTAAAAAAAGCCTCATAACTTCATCAATGCAAGCATCCATATTACTTAAGCCATCAATTTTGATTGGAGTTACATACACGATGGAAGTGAATTCAAGAAAATTTAATTTCCAATAGGGTTGAAATTGTTCTAACTAAAGCCTGAAGCTCTCAATTTTAATTCATCTCATCAGTTTGAATAATTAAAATATCTAACATTAGGTAACTTTTTTGCCTGCTTAAATCAGAACAGAACAGTTTAAATTATTTACAACAATTCATGTTCATATGATGAAAGAATGAATATTTTAACTAAGTTATTTTAGGAACGTTTTCTTAATCTTGAGTGAAAAAAATCATTCACATAGTATTGTAAAAATGTTGTTGTTTTCTCACAATTCAATTTTTTGTACAATTCAATTTTTTGTTAAAATTTTATGCTTTTTCATTTACACTTAAAAAATAGAATTCCAAATCACATGTTTTGAAATGGCATGTCTTCGGTTATATTTCTGCCTTCACGTAAATGACTGCGAAAAAAAAAGTTCTTTATTTTTGGACATACCTACAGAAGCCATGTACTTAAGTTCATCAGTGACTTGTACTGCGATTAAGATATGAAAACTAAACAGCCATGTTGATATTTCTTTATATTAATGAATGATTACAACTTCTGCATTGATATTAATAAAATTTGAATGAAACAAAATGCAGGAAATCTGATAAAATAACATCTTAGCTATTTGCATGTCTCTAACATAACTTACAGTCGTAACGAACTACATAACTGCATCGTGTTCCTTCTCTTCACGCCACAGGTACACAGAGCGTGTATATATATATACTTATATTTGCATCGTGTTCATGATATAAAACCTTAATAAAAAAACCTGGAAACATCTGCAATGTTTTCCATTGATATTCTCTATCTCAGTCCTGACCTGCTTTGTAAGGTTTGGCTGGGCATTCGTTGAGGAAACTTGGAATCACAATGATTTCCGTTCTACATCTCTATAGAGATATCTGCCGCGCAAGATTTGGTCGCGGCGTTGCTGATGATAATTCTGCGCTTGTTGTACTCTTCGGTATGAATACTCTGGCTTTTTTAAAACTGAAACATTTTCTACTGGCCAATCATAACGAAGCATGAAGATCTTCTGCACTCACCACTGTACTGCACTCACTGGGTTGATGTATTTTGATTGGTGCGTGAGCGAGGTAAGTCTGGGTAGGATTGTTTTGTGTAATTTGATTGGTTACTAGAAGAAAAGAAGGATGGTATGTTTAGTAATAGTTATAATCTTTTGTATATCTGCATGAAATGCATGTTCTCGTTTCTTCTGTATTTCAATGTTATCTTGAAAGTTATTTTCAATTTTATTTTTGTTAAATTATCAGTTTAAAGGTAAAATGATTCCTGGTATTAAAATGATAAAACTTGGATGCCTTTAATCACGATAATTGAGAAAAATTGCGAAAAAAAATTGGGGAAGTATTTAAATTAATATTCTCTACTAAGATATTTTGCCCATTATGCATATTTGTTTGTTTAAATGAAAAAAGGCATTATATGTATATTTACTTATCAAATTCTCCAATAAACGTAAATATCTAATGTGATATCGTGGTTGTGTTATGCAAATGAAAATGAAGGCAAAAATTGTGAAAATATCATCTTGTTCAAAAAACCGTGTAAAACAAAATAGTCTCACAAAACGTATTAATGAACACACCATCCGTCAGTACTTCAGTACATCAGTCAATATTACGTATAATTTAGCATGAGTATGATAATGCTATTTATAGCTTGACTTTAAGTTCTGTGAATGTTTTAGATCTGTATAGTACTGATATCCTGCATGTTATACATACTCAGCTTATCTATATAGATATCTAATGCGTCTGTCACATAGTTTGGTGTATAGTACAGTGTAGCTGGTATATTTATGTTTCATTTTAATATTAATTTTTGAAAAGTGTTCAAGACTTAAGAGTAAAATCCAATGTATTAGAAACTGAAATCATACATTCATTCAGTAATTTGTTGGTAGATCAGAGTATTTTTCAGTGTAGCTGATATATTTATGTTTCATTTTAATTTTTAAAATTTTTGATAAGTATACAGGACTTCAGAGTAAAATCCAACCTATCAGAAACTAAAATTATACATTCATTCAGTAATTTGCTGGTGGATTAGAGTATTTTTGTCTCAGAATCTTCAATAACATATAATGTAGAGAGCCAACACAATTATAGGCAAAGGAGTCCAACATCCTGTTGGTTCTGATGACGGTTAGTCTAGCCATCGGAAACATGTAAATTAATAAAACCTACAGTTATGGAACCCTTGGTGTTGATGCTCTATCTCCTACCCACTTGTAATGAAAAATAATATATAGCTATTTTCCTTTGATTTTGTTAACTGAAGACATTTTATGATGCAATGTACTGCTATATTTCTATATATAATGACCTTGAGTTTGTAATTATAATTTCGGATGGAGTTTAAACAAACCCCTTGATAGGCAAATTATGTTTATTCTACATATGCGGTTCCTTCATTTTTTAGATTGTGTACTAAATACTTAATCATTTTACTTGTCAAATCATCATAGGAAAAAAACTTCAAACAAATTTAACAAATTTGAGTTATAAAATAATCCTTTATCTATAACAGGTAAACTAAGTGCACATCCTTATCGACATACAAGAAAAAAATAAACAGGGACTCTTTTTATGTATTTGTTGTCTTAAATAGAGATTTGTTTTCTTCTCTCGTTTCAATGAAAGAATTTTGATTATTGTTTTGGTTGCCTTGGCAAAACAGCAAAAAGTGATGCAAGAATTGTAAGAAATGGTCATTTTATTAATTTACAATTCAAATGAAATGAAGTTGGATGGACCAGTCCTATAGAATGTAACATTGAAGATCCAAATGTGTTGTTAAGTCGTGGATTATGTTCTGATTTGTAACATTGAGGGGATACGGTATTCCGTCTTTTCGTATTGCAGAATTATCTGCTCTTGTGAGCAGGTATTGATTGTTACGTCATTTGTTTGTGAGAGTAAAGACGGAATTGTCCTTTCAGAAATCTGGATAAAAAATCAAATATGTCGTTTATATTGGTGGTTGCGTTTTTATTGAAGCATTCATATAAAAATTATACAATTTTGAGTAATTTTAAAGAAACTTAAGATTTCCAAAAATAAAGAGGATTTTTCAGGATTAAAAAAAAGCTTTAGATCTGCAGATTTTTTTTGGATTTTGTAATATAAAGCCATCTGTTATATCAATATCATATGTATTATAGATACAACTAAAGAGAAGGTTTCAGAATGATTGAAAATATTGTATTACAGCACCATCAGGCTCGAAGATAAAATCCAAAGTCTCCAAGGACAGGGGCAGACACAATATTGAGTATTCCCCTACAGAGTCAGGTGAGACATGTAGCTTTAACTCATTCACCCCTGAAGACACATTTGAACCCTTCCAATTCAAAGGTTGGAATAGTTCATTATGGAATTTCAGGGGTGAATGATTAATGTTTCTGTACAGTAGAATATCTACTCCCCACATTCTGTAAGAGTTTATCAGCCATTTTTACTCCTCTTAAAAGTTTTCAGATACTTTTCGTTGCCATAGTTACCTTGTTTATTCTGTATATAACCACCTCTACCATAGTATTATATACACCTTGTGGGGGTCATGGATTATACCCCCCCCTCCTTTCTCATGACCCCTACTTTTTAGGTTATTTCTTGAAAAAATTTGAACTAGGTGAATTTTTTTAAAAATATTCATCCTCTGCTCAGTAGAGTAACAAAAAACTTTCATTTTTGAAATTTTTTGATTTTGGAAAAATCTTTAAATTCATTCAGTTTAATGTAAATATTTGGATGTAGTTTGAACATTTAAATGTACACCTGAACTGACTGGTCAACTTGTCTACCTGTAGGTGACCACCAGATCTATGTGTCATTCTGCGGCCAGCCCCTACAGGGCAGCCCCTTTGTCTGTCGTGTGTACGATGTTGGGCAGGTGGTCATCACCAACATGCCGCAGTTTGCCTCCATAGGGAAGATGGTCAAGTTCCAAAGTAAGTGACGAGCAAGGCAGAATATAATGTTTTAATATTCTTCTTGATATATAGTGAGAAACTATTTGAGAAAGTACAGAAATGTAACTCAATTTTGTATATAAGTAAAACTTTGATGTTTCGAACCTTGTGGAACGGAACCATCAGGAAAAAATCGAAACATCAGGTCTTGGACTCATGAATGTTGAACATCGACCATCGAAATCCTGAACATAAGACAGAATGTGATTCTCATGTGATGAATCACAGGCTAAGAAATTTGAAGTTCGATTTATGGAAGTTGACTCTAATGCATATACTGGGTCAGTCATTAGTGGTCAATTAGACAAGTTTTCAGAATGTTAATCTGGAGTTCAGACATTCAGACTTGGCATCTTTTAATTGTCCATTATGTTTTCCATGATAAATCGAATATTAAAAAAGAAACATTATTTTTTGACAACAAACTCTTTGAGAATGCATCTTTATGAAACTGATCTGTTTTTCAATAAATTATTTGGTCAATTTTGATTGCATTTTAGGGTAATTTGTTGAGTTCCAAAAATTCTACATTTGTTTAGTCTTTACTGGTTTATATGATGGAATACAGGCTTTGAAATAAAGTTGCCACATTGACAATAATTGTTACAAAAGAGGATGTAGCAATTTCCCAGAATTTAGGCCCGTAATTGGGAAATAAGATTTAAAGAAAATATTCTTTTCATAAAGTTAAGTTGGTTACTTGATAAGTTAATGTCAAATATTTTGAATCGCTGCTAAATTTAAGGCAATACAGTGTAAGATGATTAAAAATTAATGAAAAAAATAATGATTTTAGAAATAATTTGAAATAATAGAAAAATATATTGCTGAGGCAAGAAATTATGTTTATTGAGAACTTTTTGATTGGTTTGTTTCAGTTGATGCCTCCAAGGCTGGGTCTGGTAACATAGAGATCATGGTGAACGACGGCCGTATTCCCTGTAGTGTTCAGAACCTCGGCAATTACTGCTTCAATGCTTCCTTTGTACCCGATAATGTCGAACCTCACAGCATAGAGATGAAGTTCAACAGCAAGCCTGTTAGTGGTAGGTATCTATGTCATTAAACATTGATTTCAATTATAAAATACCTTATCTTACTACATGTAGTGACCAGCCTGTTTTCAGTAATAAGCCCACCCTTTTGTTAAACAAAGGTAACAATAATAAGCCCACCCTTTTGTTAATTGTTACCAGAGATCAACACATGCCCATTAATAAGCCCACCCCACTTGTTAGTTGTTACCAGAGATCAACACATGCCCACTAATAAGCCCACCCCTCTTGATAATTGTTACCAGAAATCAACACACGCCCACTAATAAGCCCACCCTTTTGTTAACGAAAGATACCACTATTAAGCCTAACTCTCTTATTAATTGTTACCAGAGATCAACCCATGTTCACTAATAAGCCCACACCTTTTGCTAAACAAATGTTGTCAGTAAGACGATTGTTGATATTAAATACACATGGCCCTATTTTAAATAGATTTTACAGAAGTGTTGTATTGGAAAAATTGTTTGCATGTCATTGCAGATTAAAACTCAGGAAAGACTCTATAGTAATTTTAAGGCTTTCTTAAAATATGTTTATGTTATCATATACTGGGAAATATAATTTCACATTTGCCCTGCAAAGGAAGGCAAATGCAAAACATTTGCAAAAATTGATATTAGACTAAAATGCATATATACCAGAGAATGACAAACATTTTAATGAGCAAAATGTTTGGTTAAGCAGTATTGATGTGACATATTGTCTCTAGTGACAGAAAAAATCTGTTATGGTCGTATTGTGAACAGTTGCAATAGATACAGAAAGTACAAATGTTCTTTTTTTTGGCTTGTTCAGTTTACTAAATGAGCAAAAATATTATTATGTTGCATCCTTTTCTTAGAATCTTGATAATGGTAATGATAGTTTTTAATTTTGCATTTTCCAGACTCTTATTCATAGATAAAAGATTTAAATGCATTATAAATTGCAAATTACTGCAATATCTTTATATTTGTCAAAAATGTTCTTGAAAATGTTTTATTGAAAAAATGTATGTGTCGCATAAGCAACTGAATAAGTCATAACATGTATATGCAAACAAAAGTCAAGAAAATTGTCCTTCTTCCTTAGGGAAGTTTTTGGGATAAACATCATATACATATATAGAATGCAGTGATAATTGTGTAGGCATACATTGTTTTGTTTGTTTGGTAAAAAGGATGATATATTTCCTTAAAGGACGTAGACCTATTGTTTAGTCGGGGAATCTATTTCAAAGATAACTGGTAGACATCTGTATTATAACCTGGAGGTGGAACAGATCGGAAGTCTTAATACTATCAGTATGAGAAGACAGAAATACATTTTTCATAACACAGGGAGTCCCTGGAAAATCCCGATTCTGGACATGAAGAAGGCGCTGAAGATAAAGAGTGAGGCAGGCTGCTATGTACTGTGTGACCGTACAGCCAAGTTTGAGGTGGAGTTTGATGGAGATTTGATGGAAACCTTTGACATAAAGATAACAGGTAAAAAAGTGTCATATTACAGAACATGATCTTTCAGAAATTTAATATTTTGTTTCTAGCTCACATGGCTTGAACTGCCAGTGAGATTTCCAATGGTGCAAGTACTTGTCATTTGTTGTCACCTTTTAAAAAACTTCTTCAAAAGACTGTAAGGTTAAGGCCTACAGAGTACTGATACTTGTAGCTTGTTGGGGTGAAAAGATATCCAAATAAATGACCTTGAACCACATTCAATATCACATAGGTCAAATATGTTGAAAACTTCACAAAACATCTTCTAAAGAACGACAATGCTTAGAATAACATTTCGTTTGCAACTTTTAGGAAAGAGCTGTTCAAATTCAGAGCTATTTTAATCAATTTTAAAATCCAAAAAGACCCTCTTGATTGGCTGATGCCTTCAGATTTAAATATATTTTGCCAAAACCACTCAAGCCCAAGATTAAAAATAGATATTTTTGTTTTTCTTTCATCGAAATAGACTGTAATCAGTTTAAGTTTGGCCTTGGTTAAAAATCTGACAGAAATTATAGTTTGAAGTATGAGCTGCACACAGGAAAATTGCCGACCTATCCATTTAGCTTGATATTGGTTGTTGAGTATTGCGATATCATCTTTCATATGGACTAATTTTATTAAGGATGTGTACCTGTGGTAAATACACACAGCATCAGATTGTTACTTGACCATTTTTGTTTCAGCATAGTTAGCTATAGTCAATAATCACCGTCATGCTTTCATTGTTCAGTAGCTTTTAAAAGGACTATTTCTGTTATATCTATGCATGTAGACTTACTAACGATACAACTATCAACTAATATGTGTTCCTCAAAGTGTTTCTATCACTACCTGAAATAGTTTTAGGCACAACCTCAGGATCTAACAGAGGTGTATTACTTGTTTTAAGGTGAAACATTTAAAAGTGTAGTGTAGTGTATCACAGATAATGCGTCTCTATCACAGATAATGCCACTCTATCACAGATAATGCCACTCTATCACAAATAATGCCACTCTATCACAAATAATGCCACACCATTACAGAGATAATACCACTATATCACAAGTAATAATGCCTCTCTATCGCAGATAATGCCACTCTATCACAGATAATGACACTCTATCGTAGATAATGCCACTCTATCACAGATAATGCCACTCTATCACAGATAATGACACTCTATCACAGATAATGACACTATATCACAAGTAATAATGCCTCTCTATCGCAGATAATGCCACTCTATTGCAGATAATGCCTATCTATCGCAGATAATGCCACTCTATCACAGATAATGCCACTCTATCACAGATAATGACACTCTATCACAGATAATGACACTATATCACAAGTAATAATGCCTCTCTATCGCAGATAATGCCACTCTATCACAGATAATACCACTCTATTGCAGATAATGCCTATCTATCACAGATAATGACACTATATCACAAGCAATGCCTCTCTATCGTAGATAATGACACTTTATCACAGATAATGCCACTATATCACAGATANCAAATAATGCCACTCCATCACAAATAATACCATGCCGTCACAGATAATAAAATATCACAATTATGGCTCTTTTAACTTTATTGAGACACCAAGTCAAGATGTAAAAAGAAATCCATACTATTGCCTGGGCCGTCTATGGTATGTGTATTGTTAGAATGCAGTCAGGTGCGACCTTGATTTGTCACCTGATCCTTGTATATCAGCTTATGTTAGACGATTTTGAGATTGGGTGGATATTTCTTCCTTATTAACCGTTTCAACCCTTTGTAACTTTAGTAAACTCTTCCATGCGTTGATCTGGATGAGTCCATTATGATATACAGTGATGAAAGGGTTAAAACAGGTGGAAATGTCATGCATAAAGTACAACATTGTTATCATTGATTGTTTTATAATGAGACCAGAATAACTCTTCAAAGCTATCTTCACCTGTACTGTTCTAGGTCATTCTGTTAAAGGTCAAGGTCATTCAAACTTGATCACTTTTATCAGGCTGGCTGATGGTTTCTGCTTCTTGACCTCAGTATTTCTAACTTAATTTTTACCGATCCACAACAAGTTGAACGATAAATGATAATGGGTAGATTTCAGTACTTTTCTTGGTTCCAGACTGCATTTGAAAGTGAAAAAAATAACCATTCATATATATTGAGTAACTACATTGTAGCTGTGATACAAATCAAAACAGCCATTGTTCGTTTTGTTTATTTGAGTGGTTTTACGTTCCCTTCAAATCTGAGGAGTTTAATTACCCAGCAGACGAAGAGTAGTTTTTGTATAATGAGGCTTTATTTTACCACAAATCCTGGACATACTTAACACAGCGATTGTAACTCTGCTTAGTAAAACATACACTTCTCTATAATCTAGGTACATTGATCAGTCATATTATCACATTAATACATGTACCAGAAATCTTTGTAAGGAGGTTTTCATTTGAAGTAAATATTAACATGATTTTATTTCAGATTGTGTCAAAAAATAAGTTTTATTTCATTTTGTTTCTGAAGACCAACACATTGATATTATAGTGTTACCAGTAATTATTATAAAATCTAATGAAGAGGATAATGATTAACTTTTAGTTAGACAAAAATCTATATTTCTAACTGAGTAACAGACCATTTGGAGACCACAATTTCAAAACGTAGATTTATTTTCTCAAATTTAACTTGAAAAAATATTTATTTAGATTTCTTTAATCGGTAGACTTTTGAAACTTCATTTTATGTTACGAAACATTTGCTATTGTCTTGTGTTAAGTTTAGCTTTTGTTGAAAGTAAATTTCAAACCTTTTATATGAGTCATTGTAGTACTTTGTCATATTGCGTTGTAATGAATTATTTCATAATCATCATATTTGAATGTTCATTTCAGATTTTGATTTGAAGTATTTGCCTTGGAGATTATGATAATTGTTTATTTCTTATTTTTCAGAATATTTTATTTAGTGTCATCTGCATGCCTCTCGTAGTTTGAGCACATTATTTTTCCTTTATGTTACTACTGTCAATATATCCTAATAAACTATGTATACCAATCACATTCTAGTTTCTGTGTTTTCTGTTGACCTTTAACCTCATTGTGACCGTCAATGCTTTTTGTACATTTCCTTTCCTGTTAGTTTGTACAGTTGTAAAAAATTAGTTTGATTCCCTTTATACCTATAGTCCTCCCTTAGTAGACTGAATTTAAAAGGACCATTCAGTTTCCTGTCCGGTTCAGTTTGTACAGGTGTAAAAATTTAGTTTGATTCCCTTTATACCTATAGGCCTCCCTTAGTAGACTATATTTAACTCATTCACCCCTGAAGATTCAAAATGAATTATTCCAACCTTTCCTTAAAGAGTTCAAAAGTGTCTTTAGGGGTGAATGAGATAAAGGGATCATTGTTTCCTGTCCGGGTTCAGTTTGATCAGGTGTACAAATTTAGTCTGATTCCTTTATATCTAGAGTCATACTGTAGTAGACTAAATTTAAAGGGACCATCGTTTCCTGTCAGTTTAGTTTCTACAGGTATACAAATCTAACCTGATTTCTTTTATACCTATAGTCGTCTCGTAGTAGACTAAATTTATTGGACCATCTTTTCCTGTCGTGTTTTTACAGGTTTAAAATCTCTAAATTTAAAGGTACCATTGTTTCCTGTCCTGTTTAGTTTTTAGCACACCGGGTCCGAAGGACCATGGTGAGCTTATGCCATACCGCAGCGTCCGTCATCCGTCCGTCGTCCGTCCGTCAACTTTTCCTTTAAAACGCTACTAGTCCTGAACGGCCAAGTAGATTTTGACTAAATTTGGTCTAGAGTATCCTTAGGCCAAGGGAACTCAATTTTGTATAAATGGTGGGTGTGGCCCCCCTGGGGGCAGAGGGGCGGGGCCCAATAGAGGAAATAGAGGTAAAACGTTGAAAATCCTTCTTCTACCGTAGGGATTAAAGGATTTTATCCTAATTTAGTCTGGAGCATCCTTGGGCCAGGGGGACTCAATTTTGTATAAATGGTGGGTGTGGCCCCCCTGGGGGGCGGGGCCCAATAGGGGAAATATAGCAAATTCTTTAAAATCCTTCTTCTTCTGTAGGAATGCAAGGATTTATTCCATATTTGGTCTGAAGCATCCTTGGGTGAAGGGGAATCAATTTTGTATAAACCATGGGTCTGGCCCGCCAGGGGCCTGAGAGGTGGGGCCCAATAGGGGAAATATAGCAAATTATTCTTTAAAATACTTCTTCCTCTGTCGGAATGAAAGGATTTGTTCCATATTTGGTGTGGAGCATCCTTGGGTAAAGGGGAACCAATTTTGTATAAACGGTGAGTGTGGCCCCCCTGGGGGCTGAGGGGCGGGGCCCAATAGAGAAAATATAGCAAATTCTTTATAATCCTTCTTCTTCTGTAGGAATGAAAGTATTTGTTCCATATTTGGTCTGAAGCATCCTTGGGTGAAGGGGAACCAATTTTGTATAAACCGTGGGTCTGGCCCCTCAGGGGCCTGAGGGGTGGGCCCAATAGGGAAACATAGCAAATTATTTTTTAAAATCCTTCTTCTTCTGTAGGAATGAAAGGATTTGGTCCATATTTGGCGTGGAGCATCCTTGGGTAAAGGGGGAACCAATTTTGTATAAACGGTGGGTGTGGCCCCCCTGGGACCTGAGGGGCGGGGCCCAATAGGGGAAATAGAAGTAAAACATTTATAATCCTTCTTCTACCATATGGATTGAGGGATTTTATTCTAATTTAGTCTGGAGCATCCTTGGACAAAAGGGACTCTGAATTTCGTATAAACGGCGAGTGTGGCCCACCTGGGGATAGAAGGGAGGGGCCAAATAGGGGAAACATTGCAAATTCTTCAAATACCTTCTTCTTCTGTATGAATGACAGGATTTTGTCCAAATTTGGTATGAAGCATCATTGGGTGAAGGGGAACCAATTTTGTATAAACGGTGTGTCTAACCCCCCTGGAGGCAGAGAGGTGGGGCCCAATAGGGGAAATAGAGGTAAAACCTTTAAAATCCTTCTTTTACCATAGGGATTTAGAGATTTTATCCTAATTTAGTCTGGAGCATCCTTGGGCCAAGGGGACTTAATTTTCTGTTTGAAGTTTGTTCTCGCTATATCTCAAGTACTCTGGATCTTTCTGAAATTTCATATGTACTTACAGCACCTACCATGGAGTGTTATATCTTAACTTCATACCAATTATTTTAAACATATTCAGGTGAGCGATACAGGCCCTCTGGGCCTCTTGTTACAGGTGTTAATTCTCTAAATTTAAAGGGACCAATGTTTCCTGTTGGGTTTAATTTTTACATGTGTAAATTCTCTAAATTTAAAGGGACCATTCAGTTTCCTGTCCTGTTTAATTTGTACAGGTGTAAAAAAACTAATTAGGTCCTTTGTCCCTAAAGTATCCAATAGTAGTCTATAAAAGCCATTGTTTCCTGTCATGTATAGTTTGTACAGATGAAAAACTTTTAAACCAGATCCCTTTTACGATATACTGATACTTATGCCATATTAGACTACAAGAGCCATCGTTTCCTGTCTGTTTACCTTAAAACCCCATGTTATTTGGGTACATATGTTATTTGCGCAGGTACTTTTTGAAGTTGAAAATGTTGAAAAAAACTTTTATGCTATTATTTTGTACAGTCCTCATGTTAACCAAAGCTGTCCGCTAGTAGAATAAAGAGGCCGTCATTTCCATTGTTGTTAGTTGATGCAGGTGTTAGAGCTAGTCACAGATTCCTATCATAGTTAGGTTATAAAGTGTTGTATTAATGTCATAATCTGAACTTGTCTTATTACATTGTACCATTTAATCACATTTAATATTATAGGAAACACCCATTCGGTAATAAATGCATGTTGATTTGTATAAATAATGTGTACATTTCAAGTAAAATGTGACATTAAGATTTGTTGCCCAAGCTATAGCATAAAGCTACACCATAACAAAAATTGGAATATTTCCATCGTTGTTATAACTAGAAACACCTCACTCTGAAGAAAAATGTCTGTCATTACAGCCATTTGTGAACCATGTTAGGGTTCCATTATGTAGGAATTTCTGTGAAGGGTGTGAGAGAGTTAATATTCATGTTTGTTTTTATTATTTCCTTTCTGTACGTACTTGTTTGAAATAAACTAGCATAATCTTGATTCATGTGTTATAGTTCTTGTCAGTTATAAGTTGTGAAGTATTCAATGAATGAACATTGTATAATTTTGAAATTTCGTTACCTTTGGATTTTAGCTCCTGGGGGTCGGACTGTACCGTTCAACATTGTGCAAGGTCACAGTGACCAGACCATCGAGTATGTTCCCGAGGAAGTCGGTAAGTCATCTTCATGTAGAGTTTGAAGATTTCAAACAAATCGCACAATGTCCAATGTCTGAGTTGAAGTTAAATTCATACTATTTATGAGAATGTGTAAGTATGAAAATTTGGGGGAAAACAATTGGAAAAAAATTACCTTTAAGTTGTCTTCATCAGATTTAAAAAATTTTAGACAGTGCTACCAAAATATTAAATGCCCAATGTCAGAGTTTAAATTTCATAATACATAGTTTCTGAAAATTTTAAAAATTCAAAAATAAAAATGTTTAAACTTGAAAATACATTTTTTTTTTTTTTTTTTAGCTTGTAAAATAAAATATGAACTTGAAAATTTGTCCTGAAGTGATTAAGACAGAGTTTATAATTACGATACGTTTCTGTTGACAGGTGATCATAATATCCACCTGAAGTACATGGGAAATGACGTGGAAGGAAGTCCTTTTACTGCCAAGGCTTACGATACGTCCGCTATCATCATCACGCCACTTCAAAACGGACTGGTCGGATCATCCTTTGATTTCACAAGTATGTTTCTCTCTCTGTCCTGACTTTGTGATTACTTCTTCTGGATATAAATTTCTTTGATTTCATTCTCAGAAAAAATATCCCTGCATAATGGAATGGATGGTGTACAGTTTGGGAGGAAATGGGACTTATTTTATGTGTCTTGTAAATGAACTTAAAAAATGTTTTGAAATTTGTCAACAAATATCCATTTTGTATTTCATAAGGCTCATTTTATTATGCTGTTGATCATTCAAGTCTTTGCACAAAAAGATTGGATGTGATGTATGATGCTTTTGAACTATTACGTCGGGTTGGTCTTCTGTGGCACAGTGGATAACGCATTTCCCTATCACCATGGGTTTTCTCCGGGTACTCTAGTTTCCCCCCAAATAAGACCCCCAGGGTGGTAACATCCGGGCCAACAAGAGTGATTAACATAATGAAATAACTTGTTTCGTAACTGTTGTAAAATAAACAAAGTTTATATAACATCAATGTTGTGTTCTTTGTAACAGTTGATGTATCGCAAGCTGGGGAAGGACAGCTGGAGATCATGGTCAACAACGGTAACCTTCCCAACACCGTTGAGTTGGAGCGTCCGAGTGTATACCGCATCACGTTCACACCGACCAGTGCTGGCAAACAGTATGTCGACATTAACTTCAACAGTGAAGCACTGCCAGGTAGGTTTTACTTGTGATCAAGGTCCTGTGTTAGATAATGTGATTAGGCAGAATGCTATGTTGGGTGCCTGTGGCAAGGTATTTCAGTGAGATAGCACTATAAAGTTGGCATCAGATCCGCGCTATCACAAGGAGGAAATACCCAACATTCCCTCCCTCCTGCATACACACACAAGGAAGCGCGAATACATAACACACATGGAGGCACATTCTTAAATGACCTTAGCTGTTGATAAGGTGTTAAACAAAATAAAACCAAACCAAACCTCTGTTACAGATGCAGGTGTCCTGTAATTATGGTGTCAGTATGCCCACACTTTTTTTCAAGAGGTAGAAAAATTTCTTAAATTTCCCATGATGATGCACTATAAGATACGATGCAATTATTGGGAGCTATATTCAGTCAGGGATATTGTAGGTCTCTTCTGGACATAACCGTGTTCTAGTTTATTGGGAAAGCTGAGATAATTCAGCTAATTCACAGGGGATAGATACCAAAGTATGTTTACTTTGTAGATAGGGATGGTCTCCTAGGTATGATTGGGATGTTTGTGGTATTGGTTCCTGAAGTACCTCAAGTGTATTTATAGAGAATGGAGTGGCCTACAAACATTTAGCTGGTCATGGGTGGTAATCCCCCCAATAGGTTTGTTTTTGGGCAATGTATTCTGATAATTACACAATCCTGACTCTTTGTTCAGACAACATATCTTATACATTTTCATAACAAATGAAAAAATATGAACAGAGCTTAGTATCAGGGTTTCACTTTGTGTATTAGAAATGATTTCTTCATGTTCTCATACTTGCTAACATTTTGAAATTTCCATTGTTGGGGGGGGATCTGCTTCTCTTAACGTAAAAGCAAACAGAAGAATTGATATGGTGACAAACTTGCTGTACTTTTTGAACAGTTTTAAGAAGCACAATATGTCTTTCAGTGTTACAAAAATGAGGTAAACGGAATAAATTGGTTTCCCACTGAATACTGTATCTATTTACTTGTGTGACAAAACACTTTAGTATTTAGAAATTGTATTGAAATATATATTATATGTTCTTCAGGCAACCATTAACTCATTCACCCCTGAAATTACATAATGAACTTTTTCAACCTTTGAATTAGAAGAGTTCAAAAGTGTCTTCAGGGGTGAATGTGTTAAATGGCTTCAACGTATTTTCGCTGTCCAGAAATGATATGTCTGATTTTAAATTGTCTGTTACAGGTTCCTCATACTCGTGTATGGCGTACGAGGGTGCTGGCGTCACCCTGACAGGGATGGACAACATTATCCCCGCCAACAGGTCCACGTCCTTCAGCATTCAGTGCGAGTCGGATGAGGTCACACCGGAGGTCGAAGTCACCTGTAAGTGTCACGTTCACTTGAATGTTTGTTTGATTGCTATATTAACACTAACACTTTATGTAATTCACAGACTCAGATTTCTTCAAATACCATTAAAATGTGTTAACACTTTCGGTTTAGTTGCATAAAGATTTGATGTTAGATTTAATATAAAACTATTACTGATAATTCACTGATATTAATGCACCGTCTCCTTAATTGTTTAATGCATGTTATGATATCCGTAATAAAATCCAAGCATTTTAAGTGAAAATGTCAATTTATCAGACAACATTTGGTTGATACTATAGATTATTTACATTTCATGTGATCTTGTTGCGAAATTCACTTTTGTGCAATATAAGAACCTAAAACAGTTTTTAATACAGCTAACTTATGAACCCGAAGAAAATGTTTAGAAATATGGATTAAAGACTGTTACATTTTATAACTCAGGTCATCATCTTGTTATGTTGAATGTGTGTGTTTGTCACAGCTAACCAATAAAGATGCATGATACACTCTACAGATCGTGGTGATTGTGCTTGTTTTTAGAACCACTAACACTGATGTCAATTGTTGTGGGTAAATCACACCGGGGAAATGCATTGTGTTTGCATGATATGAGGTCTAATGTATGTTAAAGCATGGATAAGGAATACATTCTCATGGTAGTTATATTTACATGCATGAGTTTCTGGACAAACAAGTCAATGGACTGTTGTGTTGTTATTCAATGATGAAACTCCCATTTCAACAAACAGTTACAGCATTATATTATTGAAACTTCCATTCCTCTCTGTTCAAATTCAACAAACAGTTACAGCATTGTATTATTGAACTTCCATTCCCCTCTGTTCAAATTCAACAAACAGTTACAGCATTGTATAATTGAACTTCCACTCCTCTCTGTTCAAATTCAACAAACAGTTACAGCATTGTATTATTATAACTTCCACTCCCCTCTGTTCAAATTCAACAAACAGTTACAGCATTGTATTATTGAAACTTCCCCTCCTCTCTGTTCAAATTCAACAAACAGTTACAGCATTGTATTATTGAACTTCCATTCCCCTCTGTTCAAATTCAACAAACAGTTACAACATCGTATTATTGAACTTCCATTCCCCTCCATTCAAATTCAACAAACCGTTGCAATGTTATACTATGGTAAACTCTGGACCAGCGTCACTTCTGATGCCTGTTTCATCCCCATTTGTTGGAAAATTCCTAACAAAGAGTTCATCATTTAAAAATATTTGAATGACTTAAAACCCTATCATAAGATTTTCCATTAAGTTGCATAAGTAATATGGGATGAATTGAAAGCATGATGAACGGAGATGTGTTGCTTTTAGTTTTGGAATACTAAATACGGTATATCAATGTTGACCTTGGTATATGAATGCGTGCGGTAGATATGTGATGAATTGAGGTGCCTTGATTCTAATTTTGGAATGTTGACTACGTTATATGAATGTTGAATACGTTAAATGAATGTTAACTGCGGAATATTAATGAATGTTGACTGCGGAATATCAATGAATGTTGACTGCGGAATATCAATGAATGTTGACTGCGGAATATCAATGAATGTTGACTGCGGAACATGAATGTTGCCTACGGTAAATGAATGCCCACAGCGGTAATATATGATGTTGTGGTACGCGGAAGTATTTGGCATGAAGACATAATGGTGGCAGACAATACTAGAAGGTGAGGTTATTTACATAAATGTAGTCATTCTTATAAAACAGATTTATCAATTTTTGAAAAAGTGATTCTACTATATAACAATTATTTTAATATCGTAATACACAAAAAAAAAGACATTTATGTAGTAATAAGTAAAAAAGGCATTTTCTGCTAAAATAAAATATGAATGAAAAATTTCAAATTTCCAAAAAATTTATAACACTATTTTTTTGCATAATTTATATCAACTTTCAGATTAATTTGTTGCACTATAGACGAGCTGCTTAGTCTATCATGTACAGTACAATACACTATAATGTTATTATGCATTGGTAAAGAAAAATGTTTTAGAGTTTTTATAAAATATTCATTGTTGGCTGAGGAGTTTACTAGTAAACATTCACTGTTTTTTTTTTATCATACTGTAGAAAACAGGAAAATTACTATATTTTTGCTTCTTTACTAGACATTTCTAGAATACTTTTGAAGGACAATTCTAATTCCAGCTTCATCAGGTGTTAAAGTTCCTGTCAAAATGATGGCAGATGGCAACGAGCAAATTGTTACCTATACCCCAAAAGGTGCAGGTAAGAAAAAATGTACCCTGGAAAGTCAAAGGCGCTATTTAGTCAAATGACAGTCTGAAAATCAAGACGATACTGAAAATAGACATCTCCTAACAAAAGTTTACGTAGTAGATAATAACATGACTTGAAGCCAACGTCCAGTGTGGTCAGTTTTATCTTTTAGAAAAGTGCAATATCCAATATTAAGAAGTTTCCATTCTTATTTTTAGGAGAGCACACGATTAATGTCAAGGTAGGCTACCACCATTTAGGTGATAGTCCCTACAAGGTGAAGGTCTTTGACCCCAGAAAGGTCAAGGCTATTGATATCCAAAAGAAATGCTACACTGGGAATACCTGTACATTTCAAGGTGAGTTGTCCAGTAGTTTAATCAAACTTTATTTACTTGCTACATAAACTTTCAGAAAGCTTGATATTTAATGTAATATGATATAAAACAACATGATATTAACTGTCTTGTGATATAAACATGATTTTAACTGTAATGTGATATAAAACAACATGATATTAACAATCATATGATATTAAACAACATGATATTAAGTGTAATGTGTTATTAAACAACATGATATTGACTGTAATGTGCTATACATCCACATGATATTAACTGTTATATGATATAAACAATATTATATTAACTGATATGTGATATATAACAACATGATATTAAGTGTAATGTGATATAAAACAACTTGATATTGATTGTAATGTGATATTAAACAACATATTTACAATCATGTGATATTAAACAACATGATATAAACTGTAATATGATATAAAACAACTTGATATTTTAAGTAAGTCTACTGTGGCCCTTATAAGTACAGATGACATCTTATTGTTCGCCTGATAATAATTTGGAGGTTCTTTTTAATTTTGTGGATTTCAAGGTGTGAATACAAGAAAGAGGGTTCAATTTTTGCATTGTTGTTTATTTTTATATATTTTGAAAATTATAATTTGATAAATCATATTCTCATTTAAATACATCCTTTGACCTTTGACCTTACAGTTGATGCTACTGAAGCTGGAGACGGTATCCTGGAGGTGGTGATCCTTTGTGAGGGGAAGACCATACCACACAGACTTACCTCCCTTGACAACGGCTTCTACGAGGTGTCGTTCACGGGGGAGGAGCCTCAACGTCACAGGATCCACATAACTCTTAATGAGGAACTTGTCAAAGGTACACAGTAAACAGGTCTAAGGTACCATCCTCATAAAGAAATTTTGAAAGAAATGGTTTCTACCACTTTTTCACAGGATACTCTGTTAATAGATAGGTTAGAAAACAGCACCTACTCTTTAACTGTTTGGTGTCTTTCTCTCTGAATTGTCTGCTGTAAGATTTTTTGCTATTTAAAAATATAAATTATGATCAAAAGAATCTCATTGTATGCATCTCGGCTAGGTATCAGATAAAATGGGGCTAGAAACCTGATTACAGACAAAATTTCAATATTCAAAGAACATTTTTGAAGAAAATATTATTACAATACCAAATTGGAAAACAAAAGTGTTATCAACAGTTATGAAATTGGAAAAATAATATTGAATAGAAATATTACAATTACAGTAAAAAAGCAAGATATACAAATTCAGTTTTCAGCAGCACAACACAGATTGATGAAGTTGTTATTCTGGTGGAATTACTGAATCAGGGTTACTGGTTGTAATGCACTGTCCAAACCTGATCTATCCCTTCAAATCCACAATGATAATGTGTATGTTGACAGGAAGCCCGTTCTGGATAGAGTATGTGGACGAGATGGAGGAAATGCTGGCGGAGTTTGAACGTCAACAGTTCGTACAGATACGTACACTAGCAGGCATTACATTCAGGGGCACGGCCGGGATGATAGATCAGTTCAGCACGGAAATCATAGGTACAGGGAAACAGTTGTACTGGACAACGTTATCGAAGCTGGATTGTCATCGTCATGTTTTGAGTACAAGATAACTCTTTTTTTAAAGTAGTCTGTGTCAAGACTGCTGCATATTTCTTTTTAAAACGATATATATGTCATGGCTGTCGACCCTCCCTCATAAGGAGGGAAACTCCCTCATTTTTATCAAAATTTTCCAATCTCCCTCAAATTTTCCTCATTCTAATAGTCCAAACTCACAAAAAATCAAAATCTACATCCTGTGGTCAAATGATCCCCTTGTTGACAATGCAGGGTGTGTGTAATGATCGTAACAGGTGTGTCTGAATCAAATGATCCCCTAGTTACTACAGGGTGTGTGTAATGATCGTAACAGGTGTGTCTGAATCAAATGATCCCCTAGTTACTACAGGGTGTGTGTAATGATCGTAACAGGTGTGTCTGAATCAAATGATCCCCTAGTTACTACAGGGTGTGTGTAATGATCGTAACAGGTGTGTCTGAATAAAATGATCTCCTAGTTACTACAGGGTGTGTGTATAGGATCGTAACAGGTGTGTCTGAATCAAATGATCTCCTAGTTACTACAGGGTGTGTGTAATGATCATAACAGGTGTGTCTGAATCAAATGATCTCCTAGTTACTGCAGAGTGTGTGTAATGATCATAACAGGTGTGTCTGAATCAAATGATCACCTAGTTACTACAGGGGGTGTGTAATGATCGAAACGGGTGTGTCTGAAGCAAATGAATGCTTTTTGGAGGTATTTTGATACGTAAAAAGGGAAAGATAAATTAAGCAAAGCAGTTACAGTAGCGTTTCATGCATTTTCTCCCTCATTGGAAATGTGGAATGAGGGATATCTCCCTCATTGGGGGTTTCAGAGGTTGACACCTATGATAGGTAGAGAATACAATATAACCTGGCAGAAACAGCGTACTGAAGAATGTTTAGAATGCCACAGATAATGTGAATGCCACAGATGATGTTAATGCCACAGATGATTTAGAATGCCACAGATAATGTGAATGCCACAGATAATGTGAATGCCTCAGATGATGTGAATGCCTCAGATGATGTGAATGCTAGGTATTGACACATCAAGTGTTGATATATTTACCATTTAGCATGGGAATGTTGTTTTGCTGTACGTGGTAAAGTATTATCTGCCCTGCAAATTGTGATGAATCAACGTAATATTTAATGAAGTATGTGTTTACACTACAGATTTTGATTGACACCTGAGGTAGAGGATGTTTAGCATGCTTAAATCTGGAAGACCTCCGGAATTGTTATTGTGAATACAAAGATATCATGATTATCAATAAAAAAAATCTGTGTGTGGTTTTCTTTGTTTTCTGTTCTGAAGTATAGAAATTATTTGTATAGTGATTTGCATGCAGAAATAAACTGTAACAAATATTTCTGTGTTTAACATTCACATGACCTTTCGTGACCTCTATATTACAATACTGAGTCATCCCAGGACAACACAACCAAATCTAACATTTAGGTGCCATTCACATATCCTGGTTAAAAACGGTTCAGGTGGTGAAGAAATATTCCACGATAAACCAGCGCCCTTGGACCGAACTGAAGGCAGAACTACAAAATCCACAGTTTCGGAGAATAAATGATAATATATCAAGAATAATGGGTCCTTCTTTTACGTGTCCACTAAATCATATAACGTATCATAAAATATACATGTGAATTGACCTTCTCCTTGTAAAGAAATAATGCTAACCCGTGACAGCCAGTATTTTAGTTTCGGTCTGGCACATCTAGACCCCTCAATCTACACGTGCCGAATATTCCTGAGGTGAGCCTTGGTTTGAATTTGAATTACCTGTTGTTTTCTTGCAGGTTCAACCGTTTCAACTGGTTGAACCGAACAGGCGAAAAGGGCCCTATTGAGTAATAACAAATATCTTTAAATGAGGGAAGTCAATACTGTGTACTAATTTTTCATCCAACCAATTAGAAAAGCTCCTTGACCAATCCATTGTAGTCCAAGTCCTATAAATAGATGATCTATCCTTCACCAGTTAAGTAGATCCTTATGCTATCATCCTGCTTCCTAGAACAGACCTGGCTATCACCCCATCCCTATCAGATCTACTGACGATTCCACATATGACACACTTGCATGTTGCATGGGTTTTAGAAAGGAATTTGAAATGTTATGTGACATCAACTGTAAAACTTTTCCAGGTTGGTTTGAGAGCATGGGGTAAATAATTAAGCTTGTGCTTTACAATGTTGATTAGATAATGAAGAATGCTTGTATATGACTATAGAATAGAAACTCCCTGGCTTGGAAGATGCATACATATACGAATAAGTCGTGGCTTTGGAAATCACTTTGGCTTAGAGAGTATGTTTACCCGCTCAGTAGCGTGCAGTACTTGCTTGGAGTTATAGAATGCTGGTGTATGGACATTTGGCTGTAGATTTTAGCAGCATGCTCTGGCCTAGTGTGGTAAGTTATCAGTTCTGAATCACGTATACCTATCTAAATTTTAATGCTATTATGAAAATTGAGAAAAGGAAAAATGTGTACCGATTTCTCGTAATAGGAATTTTTCAGTATTTTTTTCTGTTTGCAAATGAAAAAGATATTTTATTAAATCTCAATGTCTATGGAATGACAGATTTACATTAAACTCTTTATATAGAAAATAAAATCATACTTGTAGCAGGCTTTAGAAAGTATCTTGGTATGAAGATGACGTCAGGAAAAAATATTAAAGTAACATAAGGTACATTTTATTTGACAAAAAAATAAATTTAATTAGCATCTTTCAGTTACAGTTCCATTGTTCAAGAAATTAAATTCATAAGATGTTTATTAGATCAGAACTAACTTATAAAGACAATCTCCGATTCAGGTGTGTTTGTAAGGTAGAGGATTTTGTGTTTTACAGCTCCAAGTGGAAGCAAGTTGTCGGCCAAGATCCGCGAGACGAGACCGGGCGCCTACTGTGTGGAATGGAAACCTACAGAGATCGGGAGCCACCTGGTGGAGGTTTATTTCGCTGGGTCTCTAATCCCAGGATTCCCTAGTGTCGTCAAGGCATTTGATGCCAACAAAGTGAAGTTGTTGACTCAGCTCGGCAGAGCAGAAGTGGGAGAGATGTACGAGTTAACATGTAAGTTTATACTTATACTGTAACCTGTAAAAATAATTTCTGTGCCCTTTTCTTTGGAACAGTCGGGGCCACGGTGGGAGAGTGATTAAGGCGTCTGACATTCTGCTATCGCTAGCCCTCCACCATGGGGTCATGGGTTTGAGACCTACATGGGGCAGTCGCCGAAGTACTGGCCGTTGGTCGGTGGTTTTCCTCTGGGAATTCTGGCTTTCTGCCACCATCAAAACCTGGCACGTCCTTGAATGACCATAGCAGAAAATAGGACATAAAACACAAAGAAACCAAACCTAACATTTGGAACACCGAGGAGACAAAAACTGATGTTTCACCAAAAGCATCACTTAGGAACTTTAGCTTTTTTTAATCTCTTATGTTTGAACAATCCTCTCCTCTGTGATCGCAATAGCGACAAAAAGTCAGTAATTTGTACAAATTCTATCTGCGGTAACAGAAATCTTTATCAGTAATTGATTTTGTTCATTAATTCTCAAAATATAACAAGAAATTTTGATTTATTTTTTCTCAGTTTTGGTGGATGAAGCTGGTGAAGGTCGTTTAGAGGTGGTTGTAGAGTGTGAAGGGGAGACAATTCCTAGTTTTGTGGAGAGGAGAAAGGAAGGACAGCTGACTGCAACTTTCACTCCTAGGGCCGGCAAAAAACACCTGATCATCATCACCTTTAACGATCTACATGTTCCAGGTAATTACGATTAAGTGATTTTTTATGCTACAGGATCTGTTTGTTTATGTGGAACAACCTGATTGTCTGTTTTAAATGTAATTTAAACTTAATTAAATGTCATATAATTTTTGGGTACAAGTCCTGGCGAACCTGTAAATGTTTATGCAGGCCTTGCAAGGCTTTGTCAAAGCTGGCCTGAAAGCAACATCATATAACAAGGTCCGACCTTATTTCTCAAACAAATATCTTTAGTCCAAGCGGTTCCACCCGTTGGATCACCATAATTGAAAGCGGCCCTGGTAAAGTTAACAGGTGATAACAGCCTTGAGATACAAGGGTTCAGTTCATATATCTCTTCTGAAACCCTGGAATATGTCATGAAAAAATTGAAGACATATGGTAAGCTGTTTGACTGGTTTCAGGTATAAAAACCTGATCAGGTCGCTAGGGTGATATCTGTCCTATAAAAATAATAATGTTGTAAAAGTCTGTTCTGTGATGGAAATGGATTTAACCTTAATTTAAAGATAAAAAGAGCTTGGCTACTGTTTACATACCGCTTTATTTGTATTCCCTTTAGGTTCACCATTTGCAATCACAGTAGAAGATATGGAGAAGAGGGTGACAAGAGTTGAGGAGACTGTGGTCACTTCATCTGTCACACAACCTCTGTCGGTCAACGTCCAGCCTCTATCGGTCAACATCCACGCTCGCCACCTTCAAATAGACAAGCGCCAGTGGTTCGTCCTGGAGACGTACGGCGGGGACATCGACTCGCAGAATCTCCAAATACAGATCATAGGTCCCTACAGACTCTGTACCCATACCATATATAAAAGAGAAATAAAATGTTTTACACCTGTCTTCATGCTTTTTGACGATAATTTGTTTTATTTTCCCAATATTTACGTTTATTCTTCCTTTTTAACATACAAAATTATAATAGAAATTTGTATAGGTATTTGAGATTTACTTCCACTATTGTGAAGGTCAGTTATGATAATGTAAGAACAATTACATGTCACTGACTAGCATATTTGTATTTTGTGTTCTGTGTAGACATTATATAGGATTGTGTTTTTAAAACATAAGCGTAACCCGAAGAATAAATGGTAATAATACTTGTTTTAACCTCAACTTTTTCAGTTTCGAGGGAGGGGATGAGTAGCTCTTTTTAACAAACAGTGTGTTATATTTTTGGTTTTGGATGTCCCGAAACAAACTATTGGGATAATTATAATGCTACATGTCTTCCTCTGTAAAAAGATTTGTTAGGTTTTGGTATTTTTCTGTTTTATCATAATCATAATTGTCATCTTTTGATAGCATCCAACGGAATTGTAATACCTGCTCGCCTTGTGTCCCAGTCTGGAGGTAACTTCCGTGTGGAATGGACCCCAACCCCACCAGGTAATAACATAATTATCTCCCTTGTCATATAATGATAAATATTGTGTTGATGAGCTGTTAGAACTACCACATAACATGGTTATCTCCCTTGTCATAATGTTATACATTGTGTTGATGGGCTGTTAGGACTACCACATAACATAGTTATCTCCCTTGTGATAATGTTATACATTGTGTTGATGGGCTGTTAGGACTACCACATATCATTGTTATCTCCCTTGTGATAATGTTATACATTGTGTTGATGGGCTGTTATGACTACCACATAACATAGTTATCTCCCTTGTGATAATGTTATACATTGTGTTGACTACCACATAACATAGTTATCTCCCTTGTGATAATGTTTTACATTGTGTTGACTACCACACAACATAGTTATCTCCCTTGTGATAATGTTATACATTGTGTTGATGGGCTACTTGTCGATAGGCCGCTAATTTTACCATATGACTTCGTATATTTTTTTTTGACAATGTTTGGGAATAATATATGTCATCTACATGTATATTAACATTACATTAATGCTGAATGCTGGTTATTTCAGGTCGACATCGCGTGGAGGTACAGTTTTCGGGTCGCCAGGTAGATGGAAGTCCGTTCTACGTTGACGTGTTTGACCTTCTCTCCATCCGGGTCAACAACTTTCAACAAGGAGGAATTGGTGAACAGGCTAGCTTCAATGGTGGGTACAAAGAAAACATGAACTCAAAATTGATGACAAGATGGTTTTCGAAATTTCAAGTAATTAAGTGTTCTGGTGTTCATCCTGTCTTTGTCGTATTAAATGACAGAGGGCAAGTAAGTCCTGCTGACATTTATTGCTGTTATCATAAGAAATGGCCTACATAAGAAAATGAAAAGTATTTCGTTTACGTGTTATGGAAGCTCTCAAGATGGGGAAATGCACGGTTCTTTTGTATGTTGTGTTAAAAGATTGCGTATTAAGATCCTGGTACCACTGCCAAACACTGTAACAAGTTTTTTGTCTGGTATAATTATAGCTTTGATAAATCATCTCTGAAAAGAAAACCATAACTTTGGGGAAATTTATGAAAAAATAATTCAAAAGAAAATAAACAAAAAATAATCACCAACAGTGCTCTGAATGAAAAGACAAAAGCGGTGCTAGACCGGGGTTCAAACCCTGGGGACTTCAGACTATTATACACTATCACTCTAACAGACAGTATATCACTCTAACAGACTGAGGTACCTAGTCAACAGAACCGTTTGAGCCAGCTGTGCTACAGTTATATCCAAATGGAAGTTAAGGGGAGATAACTGTATATATACAAAAAAAACTACAGTGCAGTGGGACAGGGATCCTTAAGAAATTGAAAGAATTGGCGCTAAAATCACGCATGAAAATGCCAAGAACAGGCACAAGAACAGTGCATGTAAACATCGACTTTGGTATTTGCTTTTAAAGATACTATAAATGCATTTTGTTTCCAGGGGGAGACCCCTCTGTTACGTACCCTCTTATGAGAAGAGGGTTACTGTCAAAACTCTTTCGTGTTCTCTTCTGGGCCGCAAAGATGACCTTTGGTCCATCTCAAAAATGTCAGTTTAAGGGCCTTGATAAAGCCTTGATAAGACCTTGAATTTGGTTTGACCTTGTCTGTACGAACTTTGTGTGTGTTACAGTTGACCTTGCTGATGCTGGGTCCCTGGAGAGCACCATACAAGTTGTCAGTCCATCTGGACGAAATGTCAACAGCAGCGTCGGTGGCGACTACCTGAAGTCGGTCACTTATGTACCTGATGAGGGAGGACCCTACCAGATCTTCGTCAGCTATGCTGGGTTTGAGCTTCCAGGTAAGTCCTTAAAAGCCTGTAGAAATGTTCATTAGATTTTGATTTTCCTCTCTCATCTTCAGACTTTCATTACTGTTTTGCTGTTATTAGTGCCGAGACCACTCGAAAATTCTACTGAAGGTGGATGCAACCATGCTTATTCAGATGACAAACTGAAAGTTATGTATTCGCTGTGTGTAAAGTGATGTAACTGTCTGACAGACTTACTTGGAAAATTCCAAAATTGTTTGCTCTTTTTCTCAAACACACGAAAACAATCATGAACATGAGATGGAAGTTTTATATAAAGTTCATAGAACTATGTTTCGTTAACTAGAACAGATCATAATAAAAGGTGTTTTTAAAACTTATTTCGTGACAATATGTGCCAAAAAATGGAAACAGCACTTTAAGAGGTGATAATGACAGCAAATACAGAACACCCGTGTATATGCTTTTCTCTAAGGTTCAATGGAAAAAAATAAAAATAATTTCACCTTTTGCCTTGATATCCTGTTGGTAAGTATTTGGATTCACAAAATGACTGGGAACTTGTTGACCATATTGCAGGTAAGTGTATCACGTCCTGCTCTGGAAAGTTGATTGATGATGTTTAAAAGTGTTGAAATCCATACAATGACATGTATCAGTCCTGTTAAATTTACTGACAGTGGTACAATGAACAAACGGGAATCGTCACTGGCCACAGGAAACAGTGCAAGGAAAGTCTGAATCCAGATTTCTGAGAATTCATAGAGGACCAAAGAATTTAACTCTGTTACCTTGGCTACAAGACTGAAGAGCTCATTGAAGATATTTACTGTTGGATTCCAAAGAAACACATGTATCGGGCCTGTAGAATTTACTGATGGCAAAACGAACAAATGGAAATCTTCATTGGCCACAGAAACATTGTCAACAAAGTCTAATGAAGAATTCTGAAAGAATTCAAACAGGACCAAAGCAAATACTTATCTCAGTTGGAGAGTCGATTTGAGCAGCTGAATCTATTACAAGACATTTATGGTTACCTCGGCTATGGTTACCTCAATTACGGTTAACTCAACTACGGTTACCTTAACCACAGTTACCTTTGCTACAGTTACCTTAACGACAATTACCTTAGCTACGGTTACCTTGGCTACAAGACTGAATAGATCAAGAAGACTATGTACACACAAGAATGGGAAGTGGACACAGCTACTCATGGAGAAAGGAAGCCATTGATTCTGTGTTTAAACATATACACAGAACCAACAGGACATCATTTGTTTGCCAATAAAGGGAACAGTCACTTTGCAAAAGAGGGAGATTTGTTCTCCCCTCCCCTCCTCTTACCCGATTTTGCCGGTTTTATGTTTGCTATTTTGGCCTTTCAGCCATTTAGCAGATGAGAAAAGATTAAAAAAGGAAAAAGAAGGATTATTTATGTAGAGAAAGGATAGAAGGGGAGCAGATGGGGGCGGAGAAGATTAATAGTTCCCAAACATGAGGCCAAGTGTTTGGCAGCTTAAGAATCTTCCCCCTCAGGTTGAGAATTCCCTATCTCACCCTCAAGGGAGTTAATGATTTCTTTCTCTTACTCTGTTCCCTCATTGTGCATCACAAACAAAATGTTACGTTAACGTTACAGGCTAAACTCAGGGTTGACACGACAGTGATGTAAGTCGGGGTGATTAGATCATGACTTGAACACGTGAGTTCTTCCAAAGATTTATTGTGTGACACATGGAAAACCTATAACATATAGGGCACACACTTACAACCAATAAATATCAATTACGCACAACAATTACGAAAAGGGCTATAAATGAAAACGAAATTACAATCCTTTTACACATGTATGCACTTACCAGGCTTCCCGATCAGGGCTGTGTATTCGCAGACACTGCCCATACTCCACATTAACAAATAGGAATAAATGCTTGATGTCTCAATGCGTCTGAACTATCGCTAGTTCCAGCATAGAGTGGCTGGTGGGGGAATACCAGAAGGGATAAAAGGCGGATCGTAGGGAGTGATGGATAAAGTCTGTGGTAAGTCACACAGTCTGTTTGTCACTGGTCAGTCTGACCAACACTCACGGCACACTACTCACATGAGTAGTACTCACGCAACCGCTTATACAATACCTTAATTCACACATACAATGACTCTCACAGGTATAACAGGTACGTGAGCCTTGTCTACATTAATGCATTGTTGGAGTGACATCATTGTTTGTCACTGGTCAGTCTGACCAACACTCACGACACACTACTCGCATGAGTAGTAATCATGCAACCGCATACACAATACCTTCACACACACAATAACACTCACAGGTATAACAGGTATGTGAGCCTGGTCTACATTAATGCATTGTTGGAGTGACATCATTGTATTGTTGGAGTGACATCATTGTATTGTTGGAGTGACATCATTGTATTGCTGACGTGACGTCATGCCATTGTTATGAAAAGGGGAATCCCTCCATCTCAACCCTAGGGTGAGTCAAGGATATCTCACACCAGGTAAAGTGTGGATACACCTGTCCAGGGTGAGATAGAAGTCGTCTGTCCACTCCTACAGGGGGCGTTATATTTTGTGGATAGAAATGATTGAAAAGAGTAGCTAAGTTTCCTACATAAGGAGTAAGACTTTGACGCCTGTGGTTGAAGGCTGTTCCATTAATGAAATGATTTACACTATAATCCAGATGCCTGTGCAAAGTGAACAAGAACATGACTTTGTAATATATCAGCCAGACGACTGTATATGTGGTTTACCAGACGACTGTATATGTGGTTTACCGATGCACAATGATAGACATTTGTGTGTAATTAAAGTGACAGCAATACAACTCATTCGTCTCTGTGTTTCAAAGTTCAGAATAAAATTAAAATTTCCTTTGATCAATAATAATTTAACTGCACGATCCTTTTAAACTTGATTTTAAATTCAAAGTTAATTGATTTAGATAGTTTTAATTTCATTAAGTTATATATTCACTTATTCTTCATATAAATCACAGAACCTGTCCAGAAAATATTCTTCATTAACTCTTTCATCCCTGTAAACACATTTCAACTCTTTCAATTCAATGTTTGGAATAGTTCATTACGAAATTTCAGAGGCGAATTTGTTAAAAAATAACATTTTTAATTGCTTTTCTGTTTCAATTTGATCATGATATACAGGTATTTTGTTTTAAAGCACATGGAGATGTGAAATTAAATACATACATGTACAGGTATGTAAACGTAGCCCATCTTCACCAGTCGCTGCATCTGGGTTTATTGTTCCTTACTAATGTTTTTGTTTCATGGGAGGGCGATCGAAAGGGTCCAAGTAGGCTTATAATAGTAATAAGTTTTAAAAAATGATTCGATAGTATTGTAAAAATAAATTTTCTGATTTTTTTGTTTTTTGTATTATTTGAAAGTGCAATTATTGTGTATTTTAATGTTCTAATAAGGAGGTATATGTTGTGTTTGTTATGTACCCGGGTATCAGTCAACCAGTTACACCCGGCAGTAGAGAAACATGTCTGCTTCCGTGAGGTACAGTGCATTGTTTCTTTTACCTGACTTTATCAATGTCTATCCAACATACATCATATCTACTGTACATGTGACATATCTACTGTACATGTGACATATCTACTGTACATGTGACATATCTACTGTACATGTGACATATCTACTGTACATGTGACATATCTACTCTACATGTGACATATCTACTCTACATGTGACATATCTACTCTACATGTGACATATCTACTCTACATGTGACATATCTACTCTACATGTGACATATCTACTCTACATGTGACATATCTACTCTACATGTGACATATCTACTCTACATGTGACATATCTACTCTACATGTGACATATCTTCTCTACATGTGACATATCTACTCTACATGTGACATATCTACTCTACATGTGACATATCTTCTCTACATGTGACATATCTTCTCTACATGTGACATATCTACTCTACATGTGACATATCTACTCTACATGTGACATATCTACTCTACATGTGACATATCTTCTCTACATGTGACATATCTTCTCTACATGTGACATATCTACTCTACATGTGACATATCTACTCTACATGTGACATATCTACTCTACATGTGACATATCTTCTCTACATGTGACATATCTTCTCTACATGTGACATATCTACTCTACATGTGACATATCTACTCTACATGTGACATATCTACTCTACATGTGACATATCTTCTCTACATGTGACATATCCTTCCACTTCCAGGATTGTTAATGATTCTGACATATTACTTATAGCTATTGACAGTGTGAACGACATAAATGAATTATGATATGGCCATTTCCATGTCAAACATAATTTTAATCTTCAAATGACTCGTACCAGGCTGAGGAAATTAAAGGATATTGAAATTCCAATATGATAAACCAAATTTTTACAAAATTTATCCTGGAATTTCATAAATCACACTGTCAAAATCCGACACGCTGGTCTGTCGGCCATATTGTGTATCCAATCAGTCTCAAAAGGAAACATGCACAACTATCTACATATCAGATTTGAGAAAGATCCCTCCAGTGCTTTCTGTGAGTTAGCGATAACAAATTTTAACTGTCAAAATCCAAGATGGCCACCTGTTGCCATTTTTGTTTTTAGCGCACTTGTATAAGGTCACTGTGACCTGTATTTTCCACTTCGCTAACTTGGTTGGATTTTGCGTTCAGCTCCATTTGTTTGGTAAGATTAAGGTTAAGCTCCATTGAGGCATTTGTATATTTTAGAAACACTTTCCATTTCTATAAATAGATAGGATACTTGTAATATAGATATTGACTCTATTCCCCAATTGTTATTACTTGGTAGTGACAATATATGACCTACATATTTAATGGAATAATCCTGCGCAAGTAAAATGTTTTTAACCTGGTTGGGGTCTATTTTCAGATAAGCTTAGTACACTGTGCTAACATACGATCTGCTTTGATTTAAAAGTATCAAATGTTTGTCCAGGT